GAGGGTTCACTGTAGTTGTCATATCAAAAAGAGTTGTGCAGTCATTGCCACAATCCATTTGAGAATATTTTCTTCTTGTACTTGTTAATAGAGTAATTTTTTAATTGTGGCATAAATAAGACACAAGACATTCTCCGACAACTTATACATGTATAATTCAGTCCCATTGATTCTACTCTTTGTGTTGTGCAACCATTACTGATATCCTTTTCCAAATTATTCTACCACCCTTAACATAAACTCAGTGTCCCTTAAGCATGGTAACCATTGGTCAACTTTTTTTTTTTAGTAGTTTTCTTGACATAAATTCACATATCATACACTTCCATAGTTAAGTCTCATTTACAAAGAGTGTATGTCCATCATCGCAATCAATTCTATTACTCCCTCCTCCTCCTGCAGTCACTGTTTTCTCCCCAGTTCCCCTCACCCTCTCCAACCCCCCAACTCTTGTCCCAGTAAACCATTGGATCAGTTATTGTCTATGCAGCCACTCCTTCTGAGCTTCGTAAATGGGGAAACCTAGCATAAACTATTTTTTTTTGCATAAACTATTTTTTTAAGTGAAAGAGAAAAAAAGAATAATACAAAGATAAAAATAAACAGAAAGGATCATCAAAAATATTTTAAAAGCCAAAGAAGAAATTTATATCATGAAACAAGAAATATTTAGTTAGAGCAGTGGTTCTCCATGTGTGGGTTGCGACTCTTTTGGGGGTTGAACGACGCTTTCACAGGGGTGGCCCAATTCATAACAGTAGCAAAATGACAGTGATGAAGTAGCAACAAAAATGTTATGGTTGGGGGTTCACCACAACATGGGGAACTGTATTAAAGGGTCGCAGCATTAGGAGGTTGAGAACCACTGGCCTAAAGCAAATTCAGGATGGGTCGAGAGGGAGGTCAACTGACCAGGTATCATATTATACGGTCGTTTTCGACCCAGCATAACCAGGTTTACAATAATCTCTGGTAGCAAAGCTGTGTGAGTCCCTCGCTGTGATCAGAGGGTATCTAGCAGAGGCTTAATCTGACTAGATACTCTGTAGAAGGATTTTGGATTTCCACCGTCGATGTGCACCATTTAAACACTGGTACTTTTCCTTTCATCATAGTTGGGTTTTGTTCTTGTCATCTTTGGGTCACACAGACTGGTGTGCTTCTTCATTGTGGATTTAGTTGTTGCCTCACTTAGATGGCTACTTGCTTGAATACAAGCCTTTAAGACTCCAGACCAAGAATATTCTAATTGCTAGCCGGGCACCATCTACTTTCTTCACCACTTTGCTGGAGAACCCTATGTTCAGTGATCTCTTCATGAAGGCATTTCTCCTCTGTGGATGATTCCTCTTCCTGCACAGACAGCTCTGCCGCATCTGGCCGTCCGCCTGGGGTCAGTACTCTTGGCCAGCACCATGAAAAGGCATCAGCTCTTCAGTCTTCTTATTCCTCGTCCACGTGCACATGCTTAGGAGGTGATTGAAAGCGCTGAGGTGTGGGTCAGGCATACCTTAGTCCTCAAGGTGGCACCTTACCTTTGGCCTCTTAAGGAGCTCTCCTGCAGTCAGTTCCCTGCAGCACCCCCTCCCCATAGCCATGCTGGGCAGCTGTGTTGTCAGTTTTGCCACCAAACAGTCTCTTGACGAAAAGGCACATCGCCTTTGCATGGTGGTCCCTGGGGGGCCTAGTGGAAGCCTGCACCTTCCTTCTGTTGGGTGGTTGGAAACTACCCTCCTGAGATACCCCTGCCCCACTGTCTGCTCCAATGCGCCTGGGGATGCAGAGGTTAAGTGCTTAGGTTAGTCAGTGCCACAGCCACTTCTGTGCTGTTGCATGGGGGCACTTGGAGTCGGATGCATCTCCACAGCACCCACTACAGGAGGAGGCAGGTCCTGGACCCTTGTTAGGAATATGGGGGGTCCACACAAGTGTGGCTAGTTTCAGGGACCCTGCAGACACATATGGGTCTAGGTCAGTTGTTCTTTAAAGGCACCCACCCCCCACCCCCAAGCCTCCAGTTCTCACTGGGACACTAGTCTTAGACCTCCTGGGTGCAGGGAGAGCCTAGTCTCAGAGGACTGGGCCTCTAGGGCAGGCCCCAGGAGTTCCGCCTTCCGGGGCCTGGGCTGCTGGCTTCTCAGCCCATCTGGGAGCATCCCTGTCACCACAAGGACCAACCCTCACACTGGGCTACAGGCTGTGGGACAGCCCTCACACTGGGCTACAGGCTGTGGGACAGCCCCCACCCCCACCCCCCGCCTGCTGAGAGCCAGGGTCTGAGATCGTTACATGGATCACAATTGAGTTCGAGTGGGGGTGTTGCCTGGGTTGCAGGAGCTGGGGAGGGGCCCCTGGCTGCCCTGGTAGTAATGCTTCAGCCTCCAGAGGTAGAGTAGGGGCTTGAAAGGAGAAGGGGGGCATTCTAGGAACAACTCTGCTCTCCTCCTGCTGTGCACCTGAGCATTTGCTGTGTGGGCAGAGGGTCTCTGCATCGCATTTCCTCTGTGCTCCAGGCCCCACAACACCAACCGGAACAACCCCGGGTTTGTGGTGACTGATCTCTAAAGAGGGAGCCCGCGTGGTGCTGGGAGTTGACCGTTGGGTGACTGCTGCAAGCCCACCAGCCACTCTGCTGGAGGAAGATGAAGCTGTCTGTTTTGTAAAGATGTTCAGTATCAGTCTAGTCACTGAGCCAGAACCGACAGTGGCTCTGAGTTTGGTCAATAGGCATCTTGCTGGTGGCCCTCACTTGTTGGTTGGGAAGTACAGAGGTTCTAGAAGCCTGGGGGCCCCTGTTCTCAGGTTCTTCCCTGCCCCCATCCCAGCTTGGGTCTCAGTGGGCTGAGTGCCTATCAGCTTGCTTGGTGCCACCGCTGGGGGCCGGGTGGTCTCTGAAGCCCACTTTGGCTACTGCGATCAGCGACCAGGTCTGACCATGTGCAGGCTGAAGTTAGTGCTGGGGTCGGGTTTCACCCAGAGGGGTAGGCATTGTGACCTGTGACCCTGCAGCTGCTCATTGAGTGAGGCTCACAGTGACCCTACAGGACAGAGTAGAACTGCCCCACAGAGGTTTCCTAAGCCGACATCTTGACAGGAGCAGGTGGCCAGGCCTTTCTCCGGTACTATCTCAGGTCCAAGCCCTCCACCCCCACCCCTACACACACCTTTTGGTTTGTACCTTTGTGCCACCCAGGGCTCCTTTCTGTAACAGCCGCTGTCCCAAAAACCCTAGGGTACAGTTCTACTCTGCAACACACGAGGTCGCCAGAGAGTCGGACTGACTCCATGCACTGGGTTTGTCTGGTTTTGATTTGGTTCCCGAAAGGAGGTGGACTAGCAAGGGTCTGGTAGCAGCAGATGCCCAGGAGGGGGCGTGAGTGGGTTGGCTGGGCTCTGGGGCTCTGGGAGTCCAGCTGAGAGCCCCACAGAGAGAGCAGACGGGCCTGACTATGGCAGTGGGGCAATGTGTACAGTGTTTTGGGAGGGTCTTCTGGGATCATGCCTGGTGGTCCTGTACCTGCAGGTCCTGAATGAGTGCCTGAATCAGAGCTCAGACCCCACTGACCCTCCCTTTGTTGTGGATGTCCTTCAACATCCCTACCCCCTCCCCTCCCCTTCCCTCTCCCCCTCCCCCTCCCCCGCCTGTGGTCTGGAAGGAGCCCAGCACTTGTGTGTATCTCCAGAGCTCCGCCTCCACTGCCAGGTGCTGGCCTGGCTGTTCTTCCTCCCTCCCTGGCTCCATGTGTCTGTGCCCTGCCTTCAGGTCTGTGAGGCGTGCCAGGTGCTGTTCTGGGCTCACAGGGACATAGAGGACAAGCAACATCTCTGGTCTCCCAGGGTTTCTGGGCAAGGGGAGGCAGCACACACATCCCACCTCATAATCCCTGTGGCTCCCTGTCCACACTTGCACCAAAGGAAGCCAGGGCCCCACGGGTCCCTCAGCGCACCCAAATCCCACATCCCAGCTGGGGGTGAAGCAGCAGAGCATGGACAGCTCCTAGACAGAAACTGTCCACGACACACTTGTGTCACACTCAGGTGCAAATGACATGTCAGTGTCCCTGCCGGGCTCAGCTCTCTGAAGAGCACAGGCATACACTCTGGGATGCACACTGGACCCCTGGCTGTGCCCAGGAGTGCGTTCATAAATGAAACCAAGCCTTATCGAGTCTCCACCATTGGAAATTGAGAGACGCCCTTAAGAGAGGATTGGTCACCTGTGAGCCAAGTTCCCACAGGGCTGCCCGCTGCCATCCAGCCTGCCCCCCACCCCGTATCCTGGTTCCTGTGTCATGGGCACCCCCACTCAGCCCAGGTCTGCCGGCAGTTGCCCCTCCCCCCCTTGGCTTGGGGTGCTGTGACTCTGATGTTCATTTGTTTGCTTAACTGCCTTTAACGCGCGCAGTGTGTTTGCTGAGTGACTGCCGTGTTGAGGGAGAACAAAACAAAACAAAACCATTTTTCTTTTTGCAGAAAAGCCTGCCATTGCTCCGCCTGTCTTTGTGTTTCAGAAGGATAAAGGACAAAAGGTAAGGGGTGCCTGCAGGGAGGAGGCCCCTCCAGTGGCTTGGTGACAGCAAGTGGGGCGAGGCTGGAGAGCACTGCCGAACCTTCCGTCCGCACCTTACTGCCCTGGGAGTGGTGAAGATCTGAGGGGTTCTGCAGCCTGTTGCCCGCCTGAAGGGAGCAGCAGGGGATCCTACGATGTGATGGTGGTGGCAGATGTGTGCCTGGGCATCACTGGTGCCACTCTCATGGCTGTCAGGGTGGTGTCAGAATTGAGCAAGTGACTCCCCACTGGAGGTGAAGACTTGGTGGATTTCTCTGGAAAGCCGTGGCACTAGTTGCGCTTTGGTCATTTAATACGCTGCACAGACCGGATTCTGTGTGTCCTCAGAGGCATATGCTGCTTATCGACAAGTACGGTGCATGAAAGCCGCTTCAGCCTGTGTGCCAGCTCTCGCCAGCCGGCCCTGCCTCTTCTTCTGAGAAGAGACCAGAGCTGGCCTGGCTCCGTTTCCCTGGGCAACACTCACATCTTCCACTAGGGAGCGAATGTATGAGGAGTGGGAGGGGGTCCGCTGTGAGGTAGCAGTGGCTGCCCTAACTGACCCCACCCGCCCTGGGCGCCTACTGTGTGGCTTGTACTTTAATTCCCTCTGAGTTGTTTGCTAAGGAAAGAGCACCAGCCCCCTTGCACATTTCCTTCCAGTCTTGCTTTGGTCACCATCTAGGTGACGTTTTCAGGGTCCATCACACTGCCGCTCTGCCTGGCCCCGACAGCTCATGAGCTTCGGAGACAGGCCCTGGAAGATTCCAGTACAAAGGGGCGGCTGCAGTTCCTCTAGCTGTAGCAGCAGGATCTTTATGTTTTCGGCGTCGGTTGTATTAATCTGTTTTCTTCAGATTTTCAGTAATGTCAGAACTTTCCCCGAAGTTGGCATTTATGAGAATCATTTGGGGGGCCATGTTTCAAGCAAGCTAGGTAAGATACACACACACACACACACACACACACACACACACACGTTTTTTTTTGTAAGTAAGGCTTTGTTGGTGCCCAGCCTCTCCCATCCGCCCTTCACACCTCGCCAGCAGAGCGGGTGGTTTCTGCAGAGCCCTGGTGACCCGTAAGAGCAAGGCCTTTTACAGCGAACCTGTCAGCCAGCCCTGATGTGCTGGGAATTAAACAAGTCCTCACTGTGGAAGACCTGAGGAAAGCCAGCGGGATGGATGGACTGTGGGGAGAGAAGATTGGTTCCCATGAGGCTAAGATGCCTGCTGCCCGTTGACCATATCCCCGCCAGAAAGGAAGGCCTGTGCTCAGTGCTTACCGGTGTCCATCGTTCAGAGCTGGGATCACCTGGCGGCCTTCTGCAGTCATTAAGGCAGTGCACATGCTCTTATCAAAATATTGACTCTAAGCCAAACTCAAAATGAAGCTCTAAAAATAACTGTCCAAGGGCAGGTGGGCCATGTGTTTGAGCTGGGATACAGGAAGAGCTGCTGCCTCAGCTACTGGGAAACTGCCTGCTGCTGCTGCTCCCACAAGGGACCATTGCATCGATTTTGATCCCTGGAGACCCCAGATGCTGCAGAGTAGGACTTCTCCGTGTGCCCTCTAGGCTGTGGTGTTTATGGGGAGCCCTGGTGGTGCAGGGGTTAAGGGGTCACCAGGTGCTCCACTGGAGAAAGACCAGGCATTAGACCTCAGAAACCCAAAGGGCAGTTGTACATTGTCCTGTGGAAGGTTGCTGAGTCAGTGGGGTTTTTGTTTTGTTTTTAAGGACTCTGGTGCCACCAAGGTTAAACATCTGGCTGCTAACTAAAGGGCTGGTGGTTAGAACCACTAGAGCAGGGGGACTCAAACTTGTTAAATGGGGCCAGTTCACTGTCCCTCAGACCCATTGGAGGGCCGGACTATAGTTTAAAAAAACACTATAAACAAATTCCCATGCACACTGAACATAACTTATTTTGAAGTAAAAAACAAAACGGGCAAAAACACCCGGAGGGCCTGATAAATGTCCTCAGCAGGCCGCATGTGGCCCGCGGGCCGTAGTTTGAGGACGCCTGCACTAGAAGGTCAGAGAGAGAGAGACAGAGAGAGCGACATGGCAGTCGGCCTCTGTAAAGAAGTCCTTAGGACAGCTCTTGTGCACTGGGTTTGGTTCTCATCTTCACGGAGCAGGTCGCCACGTCTTTCTCGCGTGCAGCTGGAGCCACTCAGGAGCGGGGAGAGGTGGGGTGTCCCAGCTGGAATAGCATCTGTCTGTGCTGCTACTGGCCTGGTCTGCCAGCAGTCAGGTGGGGAGTCAGCACAGTCACAACACGGGCCTCCGGCAGGTCTGTAAAGAGCAGCTGCAGGCTCCTCCCCAAAGCATCGGCCTTCAAGACCCTTCCCCACGGCGGGGTCAACCTACATAAGCCAGATGGTCTCTTCTGAGAAAAGGGTGCCCCTCTTTCTTCTTTACCTTTTCACTTTGAAAAGGGAGCTTCATTGGTCCCATAACTGATAATCATTGTCTTTGAGGATCAAGAATTTGCTCTAAAAACTACTCTACGAGGTATTTTTGGAACAATGTAACCATGGATTATACTAGGTTGGGGGTGGGGAGGGGGGAGCGGCGGCAAAATATTCAAGGAACATTCAAATCCCTGGAGCATTTATAGGGACAGGCCTGCATGTCACTGCTCCTCGATTCACTGCTGGCTGCCGTCTTGTCATGGGTGTTGAAACTTATGGCTACCTCTCAGCCTTCGTGACCCCAATGCCATCGTCACGACCAGGACTTCAATGACATGGCCCAAAAGTGAGGTCAGAAAGCTGGAAGATTGGAAAGAAAAAGATCACGAGCTCCACGCCCTAGGTGTCCTCTGAGTTAGAGAACAGTCCACATAGCAGCGAGCCTGTGACGGCGGCCTGCACGTGACAGAGAGACCAGGTAGAGGTGTCAAAGAGTGCGCGAAGCTGCCCGCTCCAGTCTCCGTGACATGCAGAGCACAGATTGGGGGCAGTCTCCTGGCCTCTTGTTCCTGGTTGGCAGTACCTGGCCATGTAGCCGTTCACTGCCTGGCTGCTAACCAAAAGGCAGGTGGTTCAAACCTACCTCTTGACTCGGCAAGAGGAGAGAACTGACAATCAGCTCCCATGAACATGAGTGGACCCCTAGGAAACCTGGACCCTCCCAACCACAGGTGCCAAAACGAGTCGGGGCCAGACTGATGGCCGGGGGCTCCCTTGTCCCCGCTGGCTACCTGGTCTGATGCTTCCTCACATGCCCACACTCATGCACCGGGGCTCAGCAGCACAAGTCAGTGTGAAGACTGTTCTCCTCCTCGAGTCACGAGAAGTTAAATACTCTCATTGTCTAGCATAATAATTTCTTCCTTGTTTCTTTAATGTTGGAGGGTTTGGTTTTTTTTCAGGCAAGGCAGATGACCCTGAGGTTTGGGCCAACAGGATGGCTATTGAGCTTAGAGAGGGGAGGCAGGTGGGGAAGTGCTTGGAGCAGGATGAGTAGGGGCACCCAGCAAGAGCTTGCTTTTGGGGTGCCCAGCGTATCTTGTGTGTGTTTCAGGGTGAGTTCAAAGGTGGACGTGTTCCTGATGTTGGCAAGCAGCAGGCTCCGCATCAGTTCCTAAGAGCAGGAGCTTCTTGCCCAAGAGGAACCCACAGAGCCCAGTGGAAAATGCTAGAACACCAGGGAAGGGTGGAGTGGGTGGGTCTCTCAGGGATGGAAGATGACGGCCTCCCTGGATGTCAGGGCTGTCACAGAAGCATTGAGCATTAGCATTTGGAAAGAGAAGGGAACTCAAGTTGTTCTACCTAGAGGTGGACCTCTGAAGGGGTCCTCAACCTTGAGGATCAACAAGAGGGGGCAGGCTGGCAGCCCACAAACCCTCCCCGCCTTCCAATTGAGAGTGTCCTCGCCGGTGGCCCTCCAGGGGTGCAGATGAGCGCGCAAGCGTGGGGTTGCTACTGAAAGTTCTCACTGCCACCCCGTCACCGCTGACGCACTGCACCCTACAGGACAGGCTGGAACTGCCCCTGTGAGTTTCCAAGACTGTAACTCTACGGGAGTAGGACGCCCAGTCTCTTCCTCGGAGCAGCTGGCGGTTTCAAGCTGCTGACCTTGTGGATCGCAACCCCACTGCCTACCCACTGTACCACCAGGGCTCCTGATGAGAATGCTCTTCCACTTCCCTTACATCACATGCTTACTTCCCGTGGTCTGACATTGTTACTCTAGCTGACAAGTCAGTCACGTCTGAGGGAGGCAGGGCAGTAGCCCCTGTTGTGGTGAGGTCACACTGTGGGAAATGCCGAGCAGCGGGCTTGGCACCTGGAGCACACGGGGTCTGAGCCAGTTTCTCAAGGAGAGGTTCTTGGTGGTCATGCCCCAGAGCTCTTGGGCCAGACAAGGCTCTGACCTTCCCCATCTCTGCCCACTCCCACCCCCATGTAGGATGGGGTTTGTGCATTGGAGGGATGAAAACTTCCTAGAACTGAAAGCTCCCAGCTCTCCCCATCTTCAGCGGCCCATCTGCATTCAGGCAGGACAGCCACCTTCCACTCTGGGCAATGTTAGCGATGCCAGAGAAATCCCCACATTGGTCAGTGGACCCGGGGGGGGACAGCCCCAGTAGGGCACTCCACTCTTGAAGCATCTTTTAGCCCAGGACTCATCAAGAGTCCCACCCTCTCCCTAGTTATGGGGACTCTGCCCACGGGCTCTAGTGTGGACACTGCTTGGTCTGTCACTAGGGTGGTTTTCCCCCTGGAGGTGGCCTGAGAGCACATTTGACTCCACACAGGGCCGCCTGATAGTCTGGCTTGCTGTACCTCGCAGCCCAGCAGCCCACGCCCACCGCCCTCTTCCTCTCTCACATCATAAGGCCAGTCCTGGCCTTCTGGACAGCAGCCCTGGTCCCTGCCCCCTACCTCACCCCACCCCACCCCACCCCACCCGTATCATGGCCGTTACATTGAAGAAAAACTGTTTCTCTTGCTCCCAGTCCTCTGCAGATTCGGGAGAGGAGCCTCGGGGGGAGGCTGAGGCCCCCCACCATGGCAGGGGTCACCCTGAGTCAGCGGGTGAGCGTGCCCTAGAACCTCTCGCCCCCGCTAGTGCTCCAGCCAGCGCGCCTCCGCATCCCGCTGCTGAGGCCCCGCTCCTTCCTTTCCCGCGAGACCTGGCAGGGGTAAGTGCACACCTCCCTGGCACTCCTCCTGCCTGGGCCCTGCCCCACCCAGCTCAGCCACCTACCTGACCCCCACCCCACCCCCACCACCATAGAGCACCCAGGTCCTAGCTCAAGACAGAGGGATGACTCACAGAGACGCAGTCACTTTGCTCCAAAATCAGGCAAGACTTAGCACCTTTTCCACCTATACTTTCCTAACTAGAAAGCAAGAGACTTGAGGGGCAAAATCAGAATTGGGTTTTGGGGTAGAACCTTCCAGATCAATTCCAGCCCTTCCGCCCTGCCCAGAGTCTGTCTTAGAAACTGGCTGTGTGGCGGTGGCGCTTGGCTGGCTGTGTTTGCTGTGATTAGGCGAACTGCTTGCCTTCAACCAAAGTAAGATGGGAAGATAGAGCTTCCTTTGTGCCCAGTGGGAGCCAGCCCCTAGGCTCTTTATCCCTGTCTTACGAGGGCCATTGGAGAAGATGGTGGCCTCTGGAGGACAAGAACGGTCTAGGGGCATTTGAAGTTTGCAGACTCCACCCTTGCTGCACATGGAGCCCAAGGCCTGCCTTGGGACAAGAGCAGACCCCAGGGGCACAGACAGGTGGCTCAGCTCTCAGCAGAGGCTGGCAATTCGAGTTTGCCCGGAGGCATTTGGGAAGAAAGGCCTGGCAATCTACAATCTGCTTCTGAAAGATCACAGCCATTGAAAACCCTATGGCACACAGCCACTCCCTAAGGCACATGAGGTCACTGTGAGCCCTGGGTCAATGCCACAGCAGCTGGTTACAGGATACTGGGTATCAAGCAGCCTTCCAGGGAGCCATAGCCCCAACCCCGAGCCAGACCCTTAGCGCCAGGTTCATAAGGAAACCTTTAAAAGTCACCCCCACAAACCCTGGGTCTCCCTCTGCAGTCAGGCTACTATTTGGGGGGAACAAGTGTGTGACGGGGGTGAAGACAGCATCTTTGTCTCCAGAACCCCCGTAGTCCTTGCCGGCCCGAAAGCCCCCAGCCAGCCAGTGCTCCTGCCACTGCACTGGGCTCAGCCTTCTCAGGGCACTAAGGTATTCATCCCCCTGGTGGGTAGTATTTCTCTAGCCTGAGCAGGGGCAGGAAGACTCTGTTCTCAGTTCTCTGCCTACAACCCTTTAGCACCATCTAGGATCATTTGCATCTGCCAGGAGGCTGGGCTCTGCTTATGGCCACATCTGAAGCAAGAGTGGCTCTCAGCAGAAGTGCAGTCAAAGGGGCTGGGATGCAGCGGGCAAGAAGCAAAGGCACAGGGCCCTGAACTTCATGGTGACAGCTACCCTGCCAGAACTGTCAGGGCTGCTTGCCCACTCTACATAGAGTTTTGTGCAGGCAGTGCCCAGGAGTCAGGCATGCAAGGCGGCAGCCTGTGTCTACTAGAAGCCTGCTTCCTGGCCCTGTGGGCTTTGGGCAGGGCACTCAGCTGGGACATGGCAGTAGGCAGGGAACAGTAAATGACAACTGGAGGGTGCTTACAGCAGCATTGTTAGGTGCTGTTAAGGTGGGTTTTTTTACTTTTGGGGGTACCTCGTGTGACAGCTCCCTCCGCTATGGTCTTCCCAGGAACAGCTCGCCAGGCCTTTGCTCCTGTAGCCCTGCTGGGTAGGTTTGGCTCGAAGCCAAGTGCTTGGCCACTGTGTCACCAGGGCTCCAAAGAGTTGGTGTAGGGAGCCTCAGACTCAGCTGTTGAGTCACCAGAAGAGGGGGCAGCACTGAGGCACCGGGAAGTAAGTGGAACATTCCAGTATGAGGCTGGAGACTTGTTTTGTTTCCTGGGGCTAACATGTATGCATGCTGTCTGTGGTTGTAGCATCTGTAGCTACTGACACACCCAGTCTCTCATGGAGCACCTGACACCACTGGGTGACAGCTGTGAGCCCTCCCGAAGGGGCCCCTCACGCTCCAGGTGAGTGGTGTCTGGTTGGTGGGAAGACGTCTCATCAGCTGCCCTTCTCCCTTGCTGGGCAGAGGAAGGCAAGGCAAGCCTTTCTGAGGTCAGTTAGGCCATAAGTCAAGCCAGACAGAACCTGGTCCCAGCTGCCTCTTCAGCCTGGCCTGTGTCTTTAGCATCAGAACGTTGGGGTCACCCCACACCCATGTGAACCAGCAGGTCTCCTGAGACGTCTCGTCTGCTCCTCCTCCCAGGTCCCCCAGGACAGGAAGCCCAAGGTCGTGTCCTACACAGCAACTCTCTCCTTGTTGCTTGTAAAAGCCCTGTTGTCCTCCAGTCTCACCCACAGTCTGGCTGGGGATGGTTCAGTGCTGGGAACACACTGCTGCCTCTGGGAGACAGCCTGAAGACCAAGCCGCATGCACAGGCCTGAGAGATCTGGCCTGACCGACCAGCTTGGCCAGAGTTAACTTTGCCTTATCAGACCCACTAGGTAGCGTAGGCGGGCTCTTAACAGCCTCCTTGCACCATCTCGGACCCCTGCTCAGCATTTAGCTTCTCACCCCTCAGCCAACAGACTCTTCCAGCAGTCCCTGCTCTCTCCAGTGCTGCTTGTTCCGTGAGACTCCCAACTAGTGCTCCTGCCCCATCCTCCTGCTGCAGCATCCCAGCCCGACTCCTCCCCAAAGTCCACACTGCTTCTGCAGGGGGCCCATGTGTTCCACATAGAACTTTTCTTTCTTAGTCTTGTTTCCTGGGACCCCAGGAAGCTGCAGCCTTCCTCCCTGCTCAGTTTTGTCTGTCTCTGTCTGTCTGCCCTGCTCAGGAGGGGGTCAGGTGGAGCGTGAGAGCATCTGGCATTGTGAGCCGGGTCTGGCCTCTGTCTCATGTAATCATGGTGGTCTGGGGACACGGGGATGGAGGAAGCTGGCTTGTACCCTCCAGTCTGCACGGGATTGGAAGGTCTCGTGGCCACCATCCATCTGTGAGACACAATCCTGGAGCTCACAGCTGCCCCTGAAGTCCCTGTCACGGCCCAGCTGCTCACGCAGCAGCAAGGGCCCTACCACAGGTTCTCTCTGGGCTCGCCCCTCCCTGTGGCACAGGGCCTTCTCTCTTCTGCCACCTGATAGAAGGTTTCCGTGGGGCACCCCATCACAACTCTACAGTGACACATTCTGTTTTGTGAAAGGTGGTCGGGGAAGTGGGCCTCCCAGCCCCCACTTCTCTCTGCCTCTACAGCACCTCAGCATGCAGTCCAGGCGTGGCCCTCAACTCGCTCTCCTGCTTGGGGCTAAGGGCAGCTCCAAATGCCCTGGGAAAGGCCTTGACCGCCCAGCAGCCGTGTCTGTGGGGCTGACAGCCCCCAAGAGCCTTGAGGCTGCCCCCAGAGTGGCTGGCAGCGCTTTCTCATGAATTTGCCCTACTCGTTTTGGACCCTGGGAGGTCCCCAGTACCATATCTTGATATCTCTTAGGGTGCTCTTGCCAGAGCTGCTCACCCCAGCCACCCAGAGGGCCATGTCTGTGGAGTGGTACTCAGGGGAGCCTGATTCTGGTCTGGCCGAGCACCCCTGCAGTGGGGGCCTGACAAGGAGAGGACCATGGTCCCGCTGTATCAGGAGAGCAGGGCAGGAAGTGGTGGGAGTGCTCTCAGGGTGAAGGACTGGCACTGACTGAGAATGGGGTCACAGCAAGTGGGTCTGAAGGCTGATGCCACGGGGGTGCTGGGGGATGCAGAGCTTTGGGCTGGTGGAGGGGACCCACTGTGGAAGCAAGGGTGGAGCAGGGCTCCTTCAGGCAGATGCTGCTATGTGACTCGGTGTCTGTTGGGGAGCTGGGGCCATGTGCCCCTATATAAACACATAGAAGAGCTCTGACCAGGACACGCAGAGACACGTACAATTACAAGATGGTGCTTGTTGGAATGAAAGCTGAAGAGATGCCTGGTTTCTGGGCCCAGGAGCCCCTGCACCAAGTAGAGTCCCCCACGGTTTCCCATGCTGAAGTCAGCAGCTGGTCACCAGGTCTTTCTCCCACAGCCTCTGATGGGTTAGAGGACCAACTTTTCACTTAGCAACTGAGCACCCCACTTATGCACGAGCACACCTGAGATGAGGCGGTGGCAGCAGGGCCTGCAGTCCTGGGAGGAGACACAACGTGATGTAGAAGCCGACTGCTCAGATGTCTAGCTTACCTCATGCCATACAGGGCTAGAGAGAGAGGAAGTGGTTTGTGAGCCACAACAGGGTTCTGACGGGTGTCGGCCCATTGGGTTCAGAAAAGCAGTCCCTAGGGTAGCAGAAGCTAGGTCAGAGGACCCATCAGGTACCAAGGATCCTCTCGCAGCAGCCAGGGGGCCTGGGAGCCTCACCTGGGCTAGGTGTCAGGTGTGCAGCCCCATGCAGCAGGCACTCCCTGCCAACCCGTGGAGATAGGGCTGGGCATGAGCTGGTGGTACACCCTTCTCCCAACTGCACTGAGGACATCCTCCCTCTTGAGTGCTCCCAGCCTCAGCAGGACAGGTCTGTCCCTGCTTCTGCAGCCCATGTGAGCGTCGGAAAGGTTGTAAAGAACAGACGCAGAGACCTATGTTAGGCAGGGTGCGGGCACGGGCCCTCAGCCCTTCCCAGAAAGCTGTGCCAGCCCTGCTTTCAGAGGTTCCGGCTCCAGGCCGTGGGCTTGTTATTGTGGTCTTGCCGGGGGCACAGAGCCCTCGACCTGAATCCCACCAGCCCCTCGAGGCGGGTGGTCCCTTTCCAACTCCCCAAGGAAAATTGGCTCCTCTGCTTGCTCCCAGGTGGGATGTTCTAGGAGGAGGGCAGGTCACACTCCTGGGTTTGCTTATAAGTCCAGCTTCTGAAGACACATGAGTCCCTCTGGAAGGACTGCTTGTCTCCGGGGACTATTGTGAATTGCTATCTTTTCAAGTTCCAAAATCAAGGCTAAGACATTCTATGAGCCGAGGGGTGTCTGCAGCCCCTGCATTTGGAGTTGCTCTCTGGACATTGGCCCACAGCAGCTGGGTTCTCCTCTGTCCATAAAGATGAACTTGTCTTAAGGCAGATCAGCCAGCAGGGCACACCAAGGTCAGGAAAGCCCACCACCAGGGTCCGGTGTGACACGGCCGTGCAGAATGAGCCCTCAAGCTGCCCAGGACCACCTGCAAGCCCTTGGCAAGCAGGGTCGAGCCCAACATGTGGCTGTGTGGTGGCGGAGGGGAGGGGAGGTCAGGTGCAGCACACCAGTGAGGGTGACCTGTGCAGATAGGGAGTGACCCAGCTGGTGTAAACTCGTCCTCCTTGGTTCTGAGCCAGGGGGTGGTGGGTGGGGTGGTTGTGGAGGAGTAGGGTGGGAGGTGGCATTCCTACGTGCAGGGCTCGTGCTTGCTCCCTGCTGGCCGCCCGACCCCCACTCACCCTGCCTCCACTCTTGTTTCAGAGGTCAGCCGGCGGCTCCAGTCCAGAAGGGGGAGAAGGTAAGGGCACCCTGCAGACATTTGACCATCTTGAGTGTCAACGCGAGAACAGTCTGACTCTCTCACCATTCTCTGCAGACTCTGACCGTGAAGATGGGAATTACTGCCCTCCAGTCAAGAGAGAAAGGACATCATCTTTAACCCAGTTCCCACCTGCCCAGTCAGGTAAAGGCAGACATGCCTCCAAACCCCAATGCCTTTCACCACTCCAGCCCGAGCAATCACTGCAGTGGGAATCTGTCCAGAATGCACAGGTACTACACACACACACACACACACACACACACACAAACTAGTGACACGTGCAGAGAGACTGCAAAGATGGGTCAATATTGTCCCTTGGAATTGGACAGTACCGAGTCCCCTGTTACTCAGATACACGGTAGTACTCCCACCTACCTTCTTATTGGCCAGCAGCAGGCCTGGGACTGGGTCTCCCAACTGAGCAGCCCAGGCTCACACTTGTGCATGCGCATGCGTGTGTGGACACACACACACACCACACACACCACACCACCCCCCAGCACCACCCAGCAGTGCTTCTGGCAGTAGTAGCAAGTCCTGTGGGTCCCTGACGGCTGAGTCTGGCCAGGCCTTTGGAGCACTTGGAGGCCTGGGGTGGGAGTCCGGTGTGGGAGGAGGCCGCCCAGGTGGAGAGCCCTGCTCCTGAGATGCCTAAGAGACTGCTGCTTTGCTCACTGACCGGGCAGTGGGACCGTCCTATTTGTTAGCAGTCCAGGCAGGGGCAGCTTTTTAAAAGACTCCTGCGTGCTCAGGCAGCTGTCCCACAGAGAGTGAGCTGTCAGTCCCTGATCATGGCTTGCAGTCCTTCCTGCTCGCTCAGCATTTCAGAGATCCGGCAGGAGTCGGGGGTGGGGCAAGGCCCAGCCCATTTGATTTGTGGGCCCACTGGAACCCTGCCTCCCTGGTGCTCTGTGGCTTTGTGGAAGATGGGCTGGGGCCGGGGGAGGGTGGTCTCAAGAATCTGAAGTGCTGGCCTGGCCACTGCATTTGTAGGAGCCTGTTGGCGGGCTGGGGCCACAGTTGGTATTGTAAGGAGCAGCATCCCAGGTAGGGCGACTGACTGCCCTCTGACTCAACGGCAGTGGCACTGGGTGAACAAGAGGAGCAAGGCTGAGGCCCAGGCTCAAGAGAGACTTGGGGACGCCCAGAGCCGGAGGGGAGCCTGTGCTGTGGAAAGGTGGCCTGGAGTATCTGTCCCCCTCATTCACCTCTGTCTTCTTGTCCCCGCCCCTTCCTGCACCACTTGGCCAGCAGTATCAAAAAACAATGTCTTCATGCCGTCCACCTTCTGTGAGTCATCTGCAGGCAATTCTGACTCAGAACCAGGTGAGCCGAGCCCACCCTCCCTCCCCTGCCGTTCCTTGCCATGACACACCTTGTACAGAAGGAGAAATCCAGCCTTCCCTTCCTGAGGGTTTGGGGTCCAGGGGAGCAGGGGAGATGAGGCTGAAGAAGCCCTTCGGTCTCTGTTTCTGTCAGCAAGGCTGTTTCTGTGTGCAAGTTCATTTACAAACCAAAACAGACAGGTGTGCGACCTGCTGTTCCCAAAGTCCTACCTAAGTGCAGGCTCACACTCAGGTTTGCTGAGAAGGAAATCACAAAGGCCTTGCTGCAGCAGGCCCCCTACTCCGTTCCCCTCACCCCCCGCCCCCTCCTCCCCAAGGTGGTGGTGGACCCCACTCTGGCGTGTGAGGCAGAACTGCCCCCGAGAGCTTGTTGTGTTGTTTTTGCTCCAGAGGGCTTCGAGACTGACCTTTCAGGAGCAGAGCCCAAGGCCGACCTTCTGAGGTACATCCGGGTGGGGGCCAGCCACAGGGCTGTCACGCAGCACTGCTGAGGGCCTGTCCCCTCTGGCCCCGTTCTGTTTTAAATTCCAACCGGGATGAAGCTGTGGCTCTGCTCAGAGCAAACGATCTGATGGCCGGCTGAGAGCTACAGAGAGCAGCTGGTCCCGCTGAAGCTGATGGGCCTGCCTTTTTTGGTCTTTTCGCTAGAGGCCAGCTCCCAGACTTCCTGACCGGTCTCCCTTGGGGCTTGAAGAACTCATAAAGAGTTTCATGAGGCCTGCAACAGCCCAGGTTCTGCAGTCCAGCCCTCGGGATAGAAACCCATTGTTGGCTTCAAACACACAGCCAGGGCACCACGCCAGTGCCTGCCATTCCCACCCCCCGCTGTAAATGGGCCTCTCCACCCGCACAGGCTGAATCCGAACCTACGGTTTAACAAGGTCCCCGTGGGAGGCTTATAGCAGATCCCCAGGTGAGGGCTTCATAAGCTTGGGGAGCTTGTTAAAATGTAGTTGGGCTCAGTCTCCGCGGGGGTGGCGGGGGGCGGTCGGGGGGTGAAACCAGAAGGAAATGGCTCAGAGCCCTGTGTGTGGCCAGAGAGCCCACCCTCTGGTGGTATCCCAGGACCAGGCGAGTCTTCAGACTTTACGGGTTCATCTGTGAAGTCACCCACCAGCCACTCCCCACTCAGCTCTTGAGTGGCAGCTCTTTGGAGCCGTCCTCCCTGCCCACCCTTGTCAGGTCCGTGGAAGTCAGGTGGTGGTTGGTTGGTTGGTTGGTCGGTCGGTCAGTCAGTCCATTGGTTGACCGGGCCCTTGCCCGGCAGGTAGAAGTCTGTGCACAGCCTCATGCCAAGGCATCCCTCCTGGGTCTGGGCTGGTTGGCACCATTTTCCCTTTGCCCCTTGAGCTGCAGTGTGTGTCTCGGGCGCCCCTCCCTCGGCCCTTGAACCTCTGTGCTGGGAGGAGTGTCCTGAGGAGCGGGGGTGATTCAGGCCTAGCCTGCTGGGCTGCCCTGAGCTGGGTGGAGTGGGGGGTTTGCTGGCAGCTGGGTGTAGCCATCTATGGAGGAAGATTTAGCAGCTTCGCCCCACTGCCCTTCTCCTTTCTCCCTTCCCCTCTCCTTCCTTTCAGCTTTTCATATTTTTTAAAAATGTAATGCCTGTGAAGATATTTAGAAATTCCTTGTAAATATGCTTTACCTCCAGACCTCATTCCATGTGGCCGGTGGTCCCAGGGATGCCGTCCGTCCCTGCAGAGCAGGGGGCCGGGGTGGCCACTCCATGCCTCGGATACCCTTAGTCTGTTTGCAGGCCAAGCCACTTGCTCCTAACCTTCCATCACGTTGGTGTGGCATGACCTCCCTCGTGGTTAGACCAGGCCAGGCCACATTGTGGCTAGAAGACCTCAGGAGTAAGCTGGGTGCAGCTCCACCCAGGGGTGTGGGGGGTGGGGGGGCAGGGAGGGAGTTGTTTCACTGGTCACGTGTTGGGTGGCTGCCAGGCTCTGTGCTTCTGCTTTGTAGTTGGTGCTTTCTGGAGAGATGTGGGGACCCACTTTCCCCGCTGGTTGCAGCACTGGAAGTAATTATCCTTGGCGCCAGGGTGCCAAGTGGTGGTTTTCTTGCCCCTTGTCTGCACCCCCACCCCCACCTCACCCCACCCCCCGCACAAGTTCTCTGGTCCTCTCCTGTGAGGGCACGCTCCCTCTTCTCCTGTTGACTTTCTCACTTACCTGCTGTGTCAGCGCAGACCTACAACCCTAGTGGTGCAGCAGCTAACGAGCTCGGCTGCTAACCAGGTCAGCCATTCCGATCCATCGCCAGCCCCAACCAAGCAATATGGGGCAGTCTGCGTCTGTAAAGATCTCACCACCTTGGAGCTGACACCATGGGGACCCTCCTGGGAGGTTCCCAGACTCAAACCCTTCGTTCGCAGAAATAGAAAACCTCATCTGTTTCCCGAGGAGCTGCTAGAGGGTTTGAACTGCTTGAGCTATGGTTCGCAGCTAGTAGCAACCAGGCCTCCTCCATAAGAACTCAGCCCTGGAAAACGCTCTGGACTGCTCTGCTCTCCTGTAGGGTTATTAGGAGCCAGGAGGGGCTCGCCACAGTTAGAGCTTCTGGCTTTATGCTCTGCTGGCACAGTGGTAAAGTCTCGGCAGCTAGCTCAGGGCTTGAGCCCAGCAGGAGAAAGGCCTGGAGATCTGCTTCCGTGAAGTTGTACAGCCTAGGACCCCGCTCTGGGCACGGCTGCTCTGTCCAGCGGGGAGGGCTGTCACTGAGTCGTGTTTACTGGGGGACCACAAACTGCATTTGTGCGATGGCAGGTGATCTGTTGGTGGCAGTGCAAGCACGTGCACCCTCCTCAGCTCTCCTTTACCTTACATCCTGGCACTGCCTAGTCTTACCCTGACCCTGCCTGGAATCAACCCTTTCCTAACCAAGCCCTGGGCCTTTTTAGGGGTGAGAGGTACTTAGAAACCTAGATGGGATATTGGGTGCTAGCGGGGGATCTCAGCCTCCAGGCGTGTGCTCATAACATCTGGGTGTTTCTGCACCTCTCTGCCTTTCTTCCTCCTCTCTCCAGGTAAGCAGGGTTCCCAGAAAGACTTCTAGTCTAGTGTGGCTAACAAGCCCTATGCGTGCCGCCCCAGCTCTCTCCTTTCCAACAGTGAGCACCAGCTCTCTGTCTACTCCTGGCTCTTGCCCACTCGCCACCAGCGCTTTCTCCGGATGCTTTTCAGCATCTGCTCCCAGCCAGCTTCTGTTCTGGTTCATTATGCTCCTTCACTCCCTGGAGGGCAGAAGCTGCCAGAGAAGGAGTGACCCCTCCCTCCTGCTCGACAGCCTGGCCGCCTCCCACCCCTGCTGTGTGCAGCCCAGCATCAGTCAGAGTCTGGCCATGCTGTACTGCTCTGCACTGCACTTGGACGGTTTCAGGAGGAGCAACAGTTTGGAAACTGAGAAGAGGAGGCCTTTGTTGTAATGGGGCAGGCCCATGTTATCCTGGGAAGGGGCTTCTGAGTCCCCCGCCCCAGCTTCCTGGGGTGCCGGCCTGGTCTGCCATCCTTGCTGCATTTCGCAAATCTGTAGACAAAGTCCACTTCGGGACCCTTTAAGGATGGTGTGCGTTGTAAATGTCAGCGTAATTGGAAGCAGTTCCCTAAATTGCCCTCCAGGTTTTGAATGCTCTCATGTTGGGGGACTTCCCCCTTGGTGCTTTGGAGCTGGACTCTGACTCCGGGCCACTGGGGGACAGAGCAGGCCTCCCCCGGAGGGTTTCCTTGGCCACCTTCTGGAAGCAGACCAGGCCTTTCTCCGTCGTGCTTTTTGGCTTTTGGCTGATGGCCGAGCGCTTAACTGTTGTGCCCCCAGGGCTCCTTGTGTGTTGCAACATCCCTTCTAGCACAGCCTTCTCTCTAGGCTGTTAGAGCCCTGCCCCAGTCATGGGCAGGAGCCACCCTCTCATCCTGTCCTTGCCCAAGAAGAACAGTGAGAGCACCCATCCACCCGCCCTCCATTCTGGCCTCCGATCGGATTTCGTGTCTTAAGGCTGGGGCTTTGTGGGCATACTTGTTTGGCGTTGTGTCTCCCTAGAGTAGTGGGACCATCACATGCCATCGGGACCATTTTTGGCTCCCTCTCCATTCTCCCCACTCTCCCCTCCTGGCAGAACCGGTCATCTGTCTGCTGTCTTTGTGGACTCAGCTGACCCAGGTAGTTCGTGTGACTTTGTGGCTTTGTGCACGTTTGCCCTGGTGGGACAACAATTAAACATGCAGCTGCTGACTAAAAGGACACCACTCTGAGCCCCCACAGCAGCTCCGGGGATCTTCTCCCCTGAAGGTCACAGCCCAGGAAACCCCATGGGACAACTCCTCACTGGGCTTGGGGCTGGTGTGTGTCCTCGAAGAATCAGCTGGCCGCCCTTTGGGTTCTGCGCCCCTAAACAGTGGGTCCGTCTCTCTGTCAGCACCACCTCTGTCTGGGTTACTGTTGCTCTGGGGGTGAGTTTCCTGAAGCACCCCCACACACACCTTGTACTTCTTTTTTAAGCTTGTTTGGTGACCCTCCGATGCCCGTCAGCGACGCCTGTTAGTTTCATAGGGCTGGGGTGGCGCCTCTTTGGTCCTGTTGGTTCCCTGCAGTGCTGGTCCTTCTCGATTTGATGTTCACCAGGGGGTTCTCCTCCTCGCCCTTCAGTGGTTTGTTGCCAGTGTAGAGAAATCGAGTGGGTTTGTGCCCTGAAAGCTGGGCTGGACCTCAGCTCTTGGGCAAGGCTGCTAGTGCCTCCACCCCACCCAGAAGCTGAGCCTCACTGCCTGTGCTGTCCCAGATGATGGGCCTTCTGCCCTGCCTTCCCCACCTGAGTCCAGGAGGCCCATGAGGAGCAGTGGGGCGCTAGCTGGCTTAAAGTCAGACTTCCAGGCCTCTGCTGTCCCCTGGAACTCAGCCTCCCTGTCCCAGGGAGCCCACTTCAGGACAGGAGCTCCTGCCCCCAGGCCCTCGGGGCTCTCATTACGGGAGCAGGGAGGCTCAGCAGCACATCTGGAAACCAAGTTGTCCTCCTCCACCCGTCCCCCGATGTCTGCTCTGACTGCTGAGAGGCAGGCCCCCCACACAGCGGCTGCCTGTAAGGCTGTCAGCCAAATGCTGAGCCTCCAGCAGGGAGGGTCCCCCGCCCCTCCTAGAGTCCACCACTCTCCTGTCCAGCCTGACCCTGGGCTCCCACAGCTTGCTGGACTCGGAGAGTTCTCTGCTAAGTCCCCCCAGCCTCTCATCCACCCTCCCTGCTGTCTTGTGCTTTCAGAGGAGAAGAGCAGTGGGTTCCGGTTGAAGCCGCCAACGCTCATCCATGGCCAGGCGCCCAGCGCAGGTAGGCATGGTCTGGGGGACCCTGGAGCCAAAGAAAAGACCCCACCAGGCTGCCCCTAGCCAGTAGGCCAAGTGGGACCAGGCTGCCCCCAGTCAGTAGACCAAGTGGGATGTGGGGTTGGGGTTGGGGGGTCGGGGACTGAGCCCAGGAAGGGCTTCCCAGAGCATTCTGTCCCCTGCTGGCCTTCCTAATGCTGGCTGGACCCCCCATTTCTCGACTTAGAAAAACCAGATTCAGAGGGTGCCTTCAGGGCACCCCCAGGCCAAACTCTCAGCCCCTGGGGAGCACCTGGGGCCTGAGAGGTGAGAAGAGAGTATACTGCACCTCTGTGAGTGCAGCCAGAGGTCTGAGCCCCCAACTGGCCTTCCCCCACCTGCCTCCCAGGTCTCCCTAGCCAGAAGCCCAAGGAGCAGCAGCGAAGCGTGCTCCGCCCAGCCGTGCTGCAGGCCCCGCAACCCAAGGCAGCCTCCCGGACTGGTAAGGAGCTGCCCTCAGCCCAGGGCCATGCTCTGCCCATGAGCACCCCTGCAATGACCTCATCAGGACCAGAGCCTGTTGTGGGCACCATGAGCCCTGCTTCCTTGTAGTCCCCACCTTGGCCGGACTCCCCCAGGTAGCAGTGTTCCTGCTATCTCCACACAGATAGGTGGTGGCTCTACCCCTGTGCACACATGCGCACACATACCACACTACACCCCCACCCCCACCTGTTTTTCTCAAGGCTTCCAGGCACCTCAGAATGCCCAGCACTGCCCCTTCTGGGGCCCACTTTTGTAATAATTCACTTTATTTTTTATTTCTAAAAAGTCTTTTTTTTTTAATTATTTTAACAGTTTTTTTAAACAGTTTTATTGACATTTCACATATCATACAATTCAGTGGTTCAATGTATGTAATGGACTTTTTGTTACTTAAAAAACAACAACAAAACATACCCTTTTCCACCAACACGGCAAAGCGATTGTAGTCGCACACTGAATGGGAAAGCCAATTGTCGGTTATGAGAGTCATGATCTCAAGAGCTTAGAAGAATAAAAATACACGAGCCAAATTTTCTTTATCTCCCTTTTCTGTTCATTGGCAGCACCAAACAAGCCGGCAAATTGACCGTCCCCAGTGCTTTTTGACATAAGCACTCAGGTGTTCATGTTGTTGTGAGACATTCCCGCGCCCCGCCCCCCTCCCCCCATCAAGTCTCTGACTTAATGGTGGTGTTCCGGAGCCTGGTGGTGCAGGCGCCACCGAAGACTTGTCTCGGGGCCCTGGGGCAGCTTGCTCTGCTCTGTCACTGGCCTCACTGGGAGTGGAACCAAAGCAGTGACGGTGGTCACAAGTAGTTCCTTCTCTCAAAGTGACACTGCCAGCCGGCCCGGCCCAGTGATTGGCAGGCAGGAGCAGGAATCGGACTGCAGGGTGCATGTGCCCGGGGCAGGTCCTTCCTCCACCCTCAGCACTCCTGCTGTCTTCCCACCCAGTCCCGAGCAGCGGCACCAACGGGCTCAGCATCCCAGCAGACTGCACGGGGGCCGTAACGTCTACGTCGCCTGACAACCCTGCGCAGAGGAGTCCCTCGGAACCCGCTGACGAGGTGCGGCCCCTGGAGGGGTTTGTCCCGGCTCAGGGACAGTGTTGTTGGTCCTGAGGGTGGCGGGTGCCAGTCAGCTCGGGAGCCGAGGCACACTGTACTGCAGCCAGGCCATTCCCCTGCCTGGGTGTAGTGCTCATTCCCAGTGGCCTGGGACACTGGAAGGAGTGTCTCTGTCTCCATGCTCTGGAAGCCCCGTGGGGACAGACAGACTTACCTATGTCCCTCTGAGTTCAAAACATTTGCCTGGGAATCGGCTCAGAAATAGTTTGGGGTTTTTGTTTTTTAAAGTCCCTTGGGGCCCTGGGAAGGCAGAGGCCCCAGGCATGTGTTTCCCTCGGCAGCTTTAAGGTGACCATACAGTGAGGAGCCTGCTTGTGATGCAGGCAGAGCCTCGGCTCTGTAGGAATCGGGGTCTGCCTGGCCCCAAGTCACTATGAGGGTTCCTGCAGTAGGCACACACACACTCACACACACACCACACGTGCAGATGTGCAGGCTCCAGGATCATTTGCAGTTAATTTAAGCCCCCAGGAGGCTTAAATCCAACCACTGTTGGTATGGAAATCTGAGCTGTCCCACGCACGCTGCCCCTTGGACACTGGTCACTGGGTTGGGAGGGCACTCAGTCAGCTGTGTAGTCTTGAGTTTGAGGGAGATCCAGCCTCAGCCTCTCCATGGCTCTGAGTGTGGGCAGCACCAGCTGTAGCTGCTCCCATCCCTGACCCCTCGCTGGGGTGGCCTGCCCCTGCCCCTGCAGTGTTGACAGAAAGGCTGCTCCTCCCCCAGGTCACACACCCAAGGATGCTCAAGCTGACCCCCAAGCAGTGTGGTCTCCAGCCCCCACCGCCCCACTGCCATCCCTGCTCTCCCGGCCTCTGTGCAGCCTTCCAGGGACATGAGTCCAGGCTGCTTCACAACAGGAAGGGTCCCACCCTCCAGTAGCTAAGCTGTGCTTCTGTGGGTGGCACCTACTTGCAGTGGAGATCCTGTGCCCCCCACCACCACCACCTCCCGCCATGCCCCTAGGCTGCCCCTTGGGGACCTGCCGGGCTCACTACGTGGATCCTCCCCGTCCTGCTATTGAAGCCCTGCTTCCCCACCTATAGGCCACCAGGGCCAGGCACCAGGCTGTGCTTGAGGAACCCACTGAGCGTGACATGCAGTTTTCAAAGGCCACATTGGCCAGCTCTAGGCTGCCTTGGGGGGTCCGTGGCTACGGACTCTGGAGGACACGCGGGTCAGAAACACGGAGGTGTCAGCTCCTTGCCAGTCTGCCGCAGCAACAAGGGCTGAGTGATGCCTCACCAACACGGCCTTCTGTCTTCCACAGATCCCTCGGGAACGCCTGGGGGGACACCCAGCATCACAGCTTCTCTACCAGCCTCACCCCAGCCTGCCTGAAGCTTTTGTTTTGTTTATTTTCCCTAATTATCTGGCAGCTTTCTTTGTGTAAGAGAAGCACATCGGAATTTTGTATTGCCATGCCTTCCCCTTCAGCCACGGCCTCTTTCCCAACGGGGTTCTTTTACTTGGAGAGCCATGTCTAGACTTTTCACAGTAGCTGTTGCATACAGTATTTGTGCCAATTTGGGACTGACTAATTGTACTCAACATAAAGTCCTTCAGGTTTATCCTTGGGCGGGTGTTTTGTAGCTTCCCCATTATCCTTTACCGTGGAATAATACCCGTGGTGTGTGTGTGCCAAAGCTCACATCTATCCAGTCTTCCACTGACGGCCATCTGGGTTGTTCCCCTTTGTTTTTGCTATTGTGAATAGTGCTGTAGTGGGCACACGTGTGCCCACGTCTATGTGTGCTGTGGCTCTTAGTTCTGTAGACCGTACACCAAGTCGTGGGATTGCTGGGACATGTGGTCCTTCCATTCCCAAGGTTTGAGGACGGCTGTACCACCCGACAATGTTTGTGCGTGTGAGCAGTCCCTTCTCCGGCACCCTCGTCAGCAGGTGTTGTTTGTGGACGTTGCTGTGAGGCTGGGCCGAGGTGGTAGCTCACTGTTTTCATCCGCATCTATCTTTCCAATGGCTGCTGATTTCTTCATGGTTCTTGGCCACCTGAGTGTCATCTTTGGCAGAGTGTCTGTACCTATCCTCTGTCTGTTTTTTAATTAGGTTATTTGTCTTTACCTTGAGGTCTTGAAGCTTTCTGTAGATTTTGGAGATTGGTGTCTTGTCTGATGTCTTCTGGATTCTCAGCCCGTCAAGCTGTCTTGATGACCATGGCAGTGTAGTAGGTTCTGAGGTTGGAAGAGGGTGGCCTCCTACTTTGTTCTTTAGTGAGGTTTGCCTCTCCAGGGTCACTCTCTTCCATCTCTAAGGAGCGCAGCTGGGATGGGGATTGCATCACACCTGTAGATCTGTTTGGGTGGTATTGGCATCTCACCATGTTGTCATCCTGGCCACGGACATGGCACGCTCCTCCTGGTCTGTATGGCTCTCGGTTTCCTGCGGGCGCGCCCTGCCGTTGTCTGTGGCGGGTCTTTGCTCTTCTGGTTGTGTTGATTCCCTCGCGTCTGTCTATTGGGTGCTGTTGGTGGCCACGTGGGCTGGCTTCTGGTGCTCCTGTCAGCTCTCCTCAGCACCGAGGGTTCTGGCTGGTGTCTGTGTGTTGGCCTTCCGCTCCTGCTCTGCTGGGTCTCTCCCTTGCAGCAGGAGTTTTCTGACCAAGTCTTTGGGATTCCTGCACAGCGCGCGTGCTCTGTGCTGTGGAGCAGCCCCTTGCTGGCCGGGCAAACATGTCACTTCTTTGTGTCTCCAATAGGAGAAAGAGCCCCCCAGAAGCGAGTCTGGCAGCCCTGCCATGGAGGAGAACTGCGAGAAGAAAGACCCCACCCAGCAGGCATTTGTCTTCGGGCAGAACCTGAGGGACAGAGTGAAGGTGCCTGGGGGTGCAGGAGCCCACGTGCCCTTGGGAAGGGCTCACTTCCTGGAAGAGTTGGGGGCTGGGAAGCAAAGAACCATGTCGCTGGCATGGTGTCAGGACTTGGCCCCGCCACAGCCTTGCTGTGCCCTGAAGCCAGGCTGAGCACCTGCTCCTGCGGTTGGCTTGGGTCTGCCACTGTCACCCTGTGAGGACAGGCCTCCGTGGAGTCTGTTGACATCAGCCCTCATGTCAGCGATGGGATGTGGAGAGCCTGACCCTCAGGATGGGCTCCCTGTGCCTTCCAGGACTGTGGGTGCTGGGGTCCTTGGGGTCTGTGCACAGTCCCTGGTCTCCACCCCAAAGTTAGAACTGCAGGCATCACCCTGCATCCCTCAGGGGCAGAATTTCCCCTAGCTGAGAACCACAGCCTCAGGTTCTGCAGGCGGGGGCCAGGGGTGGTATAGATGGGCCACAGCCTTCTGTGGAATTCACAGCAGGTCAGCCCATGAGCTTCCCTAGAAGCCTGAGAGGCTGCCTCGTGGAGGACGTCTGGAGACGAGTCAGTATCACTTCAGCGCCTGCCATCGAGGGAGCGGGGCTCGGGCACAGCGCAGCCCCTGGTAGTGCACAGGACGCCCTACCCAAAGAGCGGAGCCTGAACACAAAGCAGGTGGTCTCTGGCGGGGAAAGAACATGAGGGCAAGTGTGAGAGCAGCCAGGAATGGGTGTATGTTCATTTGCCTTAAGTCACAAGAATGAATCCTTCGGGCTGTGTCAAATGAGGGTGAAGGTGAGGCGGGAGCTGGTCCTGGTGTCTGGAAGGGTGGGGGCTCAGAACTGAGTGGTGTCTATTTAATCAGGTAGCAGTAGCTCCTGGTGCTAAGGGAACGTTGTCCCTCTCAACACACACACACACACACACACACACACACACACACGGTGACATCTCGAAGTTGTACTCTGGGTGGAGGGGGGGTGCACTGGGTCCTGAGTGAGCCCTCTCCCCCCCAGTTAATAAACGAGAATGCAGACGTGGCTGACGTGGAGAATGCCGGGCACCCCAGCTCAGAAACGCCAACTGCGACAAACTACTTCCTCCAGTACATCAGTTCCAGGTGCGGGTGGGCAGAGGGAGTGGAGGGGCTACTGTCAGAGACCTTTGATCCAGGCCCCGGAATCCTCAGGGTCCGGCTGAGGTGCGAGAGAGCCCCTGGAGTCAGCAGGTGCTCTGGAGGTCATGGCCCAGGGCCATGTGCCTGTCTGAGCGGGTGGGTGGAGCGAGGGCCCCATAGGGAGCCCACTGTCTTGATGACACACATCTTGTGCATGTCCGCACTCCTGCACGGGGGAGACACTGGGATCAGTAACGTCTTAAAGTGGCAAGTGATGGCTGAGCTTCATTCTAGCTGCCATGGGGCTATCGGGAGCTCCCACAGAAAGATCAGTCTGCCGCTGAGGGGTGAAACTGGGCTCTGTTCCCAAGGTGGCCAGCTCCCCCTTACTGCTGTAACTCTGCCTCTGGGCTTCGGGGAAGGAATGGCTGTCAGATAGTCACACCCGTGCATGTCGGGTGCTCTCTCAAGACCCACCCTGGGTCTACGTGACCCTCACCTTCAGCACCCCAACATACACACACGTCTTCTCTCCAGTTTAGAGAACTCGACCAACACTGCTGACACCGCCGGCAACAAGTTCGTGTTTGGCCAGAACATGAGCGCTCGAGTGTTGGTGAGTGACCCAGGCTGGGGGGACATGTGCAATGTGTCCACCAACCAAACCAGCAAGAGAAGGCCCAGCCCAGGCTCAGCTTAAAGAGGGGCAGGGGGTCATGGAGTACAAGCTGGCGTGCGTATATCTGTCTGTTCCCCAAATCTGCCAGCCACTGTCAGCATCACCCTCAGTCTGCCGCCAGTTGGAGCCTCTGCTCCCTCCCACTCAGCCAGCTGGAAGGACAGTGCCTCTTGGTGCTGCTGGGATGCCAGGGCAGCCCTCCCACGGGGGCTGCTGGATCGTTCTGGGCCCAGTCATCCCTAGCCCTTCCTCAAACAGGACTACCTGCTTTGTGCCCACTCATGCAATGCGTGGGCGGACCCGGTGCTCCAGGGACCCTCCTTTCCCCGGGAGCGCGACCCACCCTCTGGCCTAGGTGCTAGAGGTGCCCCCACGTCCCTTTGGTTCTTGTTCCACCTGGACACACGCACCCTTGTGGGCCCATCCCCAGGGCCGGTGGGTCCTCTGAGCTGTAAGAGAGAAGCCACTGCCCCGCGGCAGCGCCAGGCCAAGCTATGTCCTTGTGTAGGGCCTCCATTTGCCAGGACCCCTGACCCCGTGACCTCTGTCTACCCCCAGAGCCCGCCAAAGCTAAACGAGGCCAGCGCAGATGCCAACAGGGAAAACACCGAGTCAGGCTCAGAGTCCTCGTCCCAGGAGGCCACCCCTGAGAAAGGTGCGTCTGAGTCCTGCCCCCGTGGGAGTGGGTGGGTGGGTGGGTGGGAGAGGCCCATGCCAAGCAAGCCTCTGTCTGCAGACCAGGGACTGAAGGTCACTGTGGTAGACAGAAGAAGGCTTCAGCCTGGGGAGATAAGTTCCTCAGGCCCTGTATGTGACTCGCCTGCTGCTGGGTGGGTTGGGAGGCAAGGGCTCAGGCATCCTGGTCTCCCACATGTGCGGCGATGATATATAAAGATTATAGTAGTTATAGAGGGTAAAGATAGGAGGGAGAATAAAATAAAAGGAGTCAGACACATTTTATGGTGGCATGCTCACCTCAGCTCCTCTTGGTGGTCCACATGGAACTGGAAGAGTGAGAGGGAGTCTTTCCGGTCTTGGGGCAGTTATAGGTAGCATATTCAGTAGTTCACATGCGGCAGAATGTGGGCGGTGTCTACACTAAGGGTCCCTGAGCTCACAGGTGAGGAACCCTAATGCCTGCATTGGGGGAAGGGGCAGGGGCTGGGTGTCCTAGCGGGAAGAGAGCAAAAGGTCATGTCTGCTTCTGTAATCAACCATATGCTCACTTCAAGGCAGCTTCGAGGTTAAAGGGAGAATCTGTGGGAACCTGGACCGTACTTCCATCCCACTAACCACAATGGAGGCTTTCCTACCACGGAATACCAGCTTCCCAGAGCCCCTCCGTGATAAGTTAGGGCATAGAGCCCTCGTCATATTTCCCTCAGAGGGCCGGGTGCGGGTCACAGAGGCAGCTGGCACCCGTGACCTCGAGACCATGTTGTTCAACTGGTGCCCTTTCAGAGTCGCTGGCCGAGTCCGCAGCCGCGTACACCAAGGCGACAGCCCGGAAGTGTTTGCTGGAGAAGGTGGAGGTCATCACCGGGGAGGAGGCAGAGAGCAATGTGCTACAGGTGAGGGGGCTGTGGGCCGGCCAGCCACTTTCTCAGAGCTCACGTGGGGGTGGGGGTGCGGTGAGTGTCCTTGAGCAAAGGGAGCTATTTTGAATCACGACAAAGACTAAACTCCTCTGATACTCAAAACTGACAAATATGGTGGCACCCAGACAGCTCATGGTTTAGGGTGGGGATGGGGTCACCGATCCAGCCAGACATTTGCTCCACTGTCTCCCTCTCCCGGGGACATAAGTGTGTGTAAGCCCGTTGTTGGCGATGGCAGGGGTGATGGAGCCGGCGCATGCGCAACAGAATGTTCGGAAGGGAACGTGCCCAGCCCCGCACCATCCTCACAATGGTTAGGCTTGAGTCCAGTGTGGAAATGCCTGGGTCAGCCCGTCCTTGAGGGGCTTCCTCTTTCTCTGCGACCACCCTCTGCCATGTCTTCCTCCAGGGACTGCGCCGGTGCCCTTCCTAACGCACCACCTTCCAGGACCTGCAGGCTTTTTGTGTGAAGGGCACATGGTGACTGTGACTGGCCTTTGTCACAGCACTCTTCGTTGCTGGCTTTGTGTGAGGGTCAGGGGTGGTTTGGGCTTTTTGTTGTATGTTTTTAATAACAGTTCATTGAGGTCCACTTTCACATGCCGTAAAATTAGCCTTTTGGTAGTTTTCACCACATGTACAGTTCTGCCACCGTCGTTACTTTTGCTCTCACAAACACGCTCCACGCCCTCAGCAGTCCTTCGTCCGTGCGGTGGTCAGACCCCCTTATCTGGGCTGCCTCCCCCGGGCAAGTGCCCACCATGGAGCCCGTGAGATGTGCCCCTGTGTGTCCGCCTCCACGCAGTGAACTTCGTGTCTCCTAGGTTCTTGCACACCCGGCGTGTATCCGTCATCGCCCCTGTCCCTTCCTACTGCGCATCCGGGCCATCTCCTGACAGACACTGGGCTGTAGGGGTGGTGCTCTGTGACCACACAGGGACCCGTTTCTGCGTGGCCCTGTGCTGTCACTTCTCGTGGGTACACCCCTGGGAGTGGGATTCCTGGGTCACATGGAGGTTCCACCTTGAGCCATTTGAGGAGCAATCTCGGGGTGGGGGAGGCCCTCAGCATCCCCACCAGCCATGCCAGAGGGCCCCAGGGCCCTCATCTCCCCACACTGGCTGCAGTGCCTCTCGTGGTAGCTGGCGGGCCTCTGCTCACCAGGTGCCGTCTGTTTCAGATCCAGTGTAAGCTGTTTGTCTTTGACAAGGCCTCACAGTCCTGGGTGGAGAGAGGCCGCGGGCTGCTCAGACTCAACGACATGGCTTCTGCCGACGATGGCACGCTACAGTCCCGGCTAGGTGAGCAGCCCTGGGGTGGGTGGGTGAAGCCTGCTTTCCAGAGGGGAGAGCCAACTCCTCCTCAGACCCACGGAGCAGCGGGTGCCTGAGATGGCTGCTGCCACCCTGGGGCCCACCCTCATTTTTCTTTCCACTATTGTAGTGCGTGCATGTACACACACACACACTCACACACAGGCTGTCTTGAATGCACAAGACCCACTCCTGAGGGTGTGCTGCCTATGGAACCATCTGTGGGCCTGGACACATGTAGCCAGGCCCCTGACTGGGAGCAGGCTCTGACTCATGGTGACCTCATCACCTGAGTAGCGGTCTTGTCCTACCCCACCCCCACCCCCAAGGTTTCCAAAGGCTGGTTACTTGGAAATAAATGCCCAGGCCTTTCTTCTGAGGCAGCATCAGGTTTCCTTAAACCAGAGAGCACTGACCGATCTGCACTACCAGGAGCTCCCCAGGGTGGGTGGAGGCGGGTCTTAGATACCTAGACCTGCCAGAGGGCACGGTGGGTGGGTGACCTCGAAAACTTATTTTCTCACAGCTTCCAACCCAATCCCACTGCCTCAAGTCACTTCCAACTCACAGTGAGCCTTTAAGGCAGAGTAGAACCACTTCCTAGAGCAACCTTCCTAACACTGCCACCCTTTGATACCCTTCCTCATGTGGTGCTGAAGCCCCTCCCCCAACCATAAAATTATTTTCGCTGCTACTTCATAACTATAATTTTGCTACTATTATGAATGGGGCAACCCCTATGAAAGGGTCATTTGACCCCCAGAAGAGTCGCACCCCACAGGCTGAGAACCGCTGCCCTAGGGTTTCTGAGACTGAACCTGTGTGGAAGCAGTCTGCCGCATGTTTCTCCCCAAGAGCAGCTGATGGCTTCAAACCACTCACCTAACTCTTCACACGCTGCATCGCTTTCTCATCGATCAGGAGGCCAGGGGTCCAGCTCTGCTGCGGGGGAAGGGTGTGGGAGGGTGTCATTGTCTCTTCAACTTCCATTCTTGGATGCTCTCCGTGTGGTTTAACATTTCTCTTCCCCGCCCTGCTCTGCTCACTTGTTTTGTCTTGATTACTAGGGAAGCCAGCAGGTTACCAATCAGGATCAGAAATGTTAGTTTTGTCAGCAGTGCCTCTTTTCAGCCATGCCTGATGTGGGCATCCTCTCTCCAGTCCTTGGCCACTCCCCTGCTCGGTCATGAATTAAGAGGCTCTTTTAGCACAATAAATGACAGAAGAGCACCCCATTCTGCAAGTCAGCCTGCAGCCTGAAGGCTCAGTGGGCCAGAGAGCCGGCCACTCTGGCTCTGGTCTCCATGCTGTAACACCGCTTCTCTGTGCAGGCATCTCGAACACATCCCACTCGTGGCTCTTTTTCTCAATGGTCATGCATGGTCCCTGCTCATGGCTCAGGAGAGGTGGCCTCTTGTCTCCGTAGCACAGCAATGGGGCTGATCCTACGGCAGGAGCCGTTGGCACAGAGCCGAGGACTGCCCTCTGGGTTTCCGCTCCATCTGCTGTGGTGGGAATGCTCCCCTCTTCCACGGGAGGGCCAGGTGCCTATGGCTGAGGGGCCCTCAGACTCTCCCTTTTTCACTCCCACCTCCACTTGTACTTGACTTCCAGCCTCTGAGGGGACCTGGTGGGCCCTAGAGGCTGGTTCAGAGGAGTGGCCATGGGAGCCAGGACCCAGAAGGACCCCAGACCCTGTGCTGCGCCTGTGTCCCTAGAGGCACTGCAAGCCCTGGCCCAGCCTCCACACCCTTTCGAGCAGGCCTGTCCCCGAGGGAAAGTGGGCACTCGGAGCCGGGGTCCTGCAGACATCACATCTCTCAGTCCCCACAGCAGGCTGCTCCCAGTCACTCCCTCGGGCTCCCAGAGGATGGGGCAGGGGCGCAGCCAGGGTGGACGTTTCCTGCCCTCTCCCCACCAGCCCCTCCCCCTCGTCCTCGTCCCTGCTCACCCTCTTCCCCAAAGGGAGCCGCCATCTCGGCACCTGACTGAGGAGCAGGCAGAGCCCCCACCTCAGGTCAGTGTGCGCCCCCGCCTGTGCAGCCTTCTGAGGCACCCAGTCCTGCAGCACTGCTGGGGCTGACGGCGCTGCCTGCCCTTGCAGTGATGCGGACCCAGGGCAGCCTGCGGCTGATCCTCAACACCAAGCTGTGGGCGCAGATGCAGATCGACAAGGCCAGTGAGAAGAGCGTGCGCGTCACCGCCACGGACACCGAGGACCAGGGCGTGAAAGTCTTCCTCATCTCGGTGAGACGGAGGCATGGGGCAGTGGGTGGGAGGGGCTCCCAGTTGCGAGGATGGAGGGGCCTGGCATTGGGCAGGGCCCGTCTCAGGAGCCTCACAGACCCCCCTGCCCCCAGGCCAGCTCCAAGGACACGGGCCAGCTGTACGCGGCCCTGCACCACCGCATCCTGGCCCTGCGCAGCCACGTGGAGCAGGAGCAGGAAGCCAAGGTGCCCGCACCAGAGCCGGGGGTGGCCCCGTCCAACGAGGACGACAGCGATGACGACGTGCTGGCTCCCTCGGGGGCCACAGGAGGCGGTGAGCTGGGAGTCTTGGGCCTGGGTGGCTTAGGCATGCCTCAGTGAGACCCAGGAGCTTGCATTGAGGGCCCCTCTCTCCACAGGTGCCGGTGATGAAGGGGACGGGCCTGCCGCGGGGGGCACATAGCAGCCGGGCCACCACACAGCCGCTGCTCGTCCGTCTGTCTGCCCGCCCGCCCGCCCTGGCCCTCCCTGCAGCAGCGTCGGCTCGGACTGGGCCCCACCCCCGCTGGGCGACCGCAGTCTGGACCCGCTTGTCCTGTCCCCAAGCAGACTCGGAACTGCCCTCTGCAGCCTGGGCTCCAGACCTCATCATATTGATGAGCAGCCCAGGACGTCCCCTGGAATTGAAACGGCACACCAGGACTTGCCACGCTTCTCACTGGGACAGGCGGGCTCCACCACTCCCCGAGGGCCCGCCACGTGAGCCCCTTCCCGGGCGCACACTTTCTTTCGGCAGACCGTTTTTTATTTTCAGAGGGGTTTGGTTTCTCAGCTGAAGGAAGACCCCCTCCCCCATCGCCGCTCTCCCAGCCTGGAGAGGAAGCCTCTAAGGGACTGCTGGGCCCTGGAGGGACCCCCTCCCGCCTGCACATCACGTGGTGCACACACCATCTGGCCGCAGCCTGCTTCTCGCCCGGCCACTCCTCACCCGGCCTGGGAGTTGCTAGAAGCACCCCCCTGGTCTGGCCTCCTGGATCAGGTGGCTCCCACACCGGCCATTCCACTCTGCCACCCACAGCCACCGGGGAGGCCATAGTGCCCACCGTGGACAGGCTCCAAAGGACCACAGATGATGCCAGTTGGCCTCTCCCAGAGCGGCTGCATTTTCAGCAGGGCCCTCACTGCCCAGCTGGCCGAGCACCAAGAAGACTCCAGAGGCCCTGACCAGAGAGCCGGTCACTCCTCTGCTTTCAGCCTTAGCCAACTAGTGACCAGTAAACCAGACCATGCCCTCGTGTCTTGAACATTTATGTAAGATCGTCCTATGAGATGTATTTGGGATCGACATTAAAACTTTTAACTAAAACCCCAGCCTCCTACATGCCAGGGGCCACAGGACACTCATCGCCCTGGACACTCGGCCCTCCCTCCAGGGTGCCCCCCACGGGGGCTCTCATCTCAGAAGAGCTGGCCCGCCCATGTCTTCCTCCTGCTGAAGGGGCTGAGGGTAAAGGTGGGGGGTAGGGGCTACACTGTGGGGGCGGGGCAAAGCGGAAGGGGGCTTGGTGGCCCTTCTGCTGGAACCTTGAGCAGGAGCCATTGTCTCCTTCAGCCCAGAGGTCACACAGGCCCCGAGAGCTGGTGAAGCAGGTTTTCGGCGCAAGCTGGCCCCTCCCCCACCTGCTTGGGCTCGGCGTCAAGGGGTCAGTGCTGGTGGGCGAGGCTGCTCACAGCCGCCAGGCGCTGGTCACCATGGCCACGAACTCGTCGTCCGAGTCCACAGAGGCACTCACTCCGCTGTAGTAGTCCTGGAACTCCGCCAGCGTGACCTGCGGGGAAGGCGCAGGGCCGGCCTTGAGGGGGGGCTGGGAGGAGGAGGAGAGGGGGGAGGGACGGGGCCCACCTGCCCATCCTTGTTCTCGGAGTCGAAGCCGTCCAGGAAGTGGCGGAGTGCTTCCTCCTCAGTCCACTGGCCGCTGCGGACCTTGGGGTGGGCGCGGCCGCTGTACACCCCGCGGAGGTCTTCCACGGTCACCACGCCGTCCCCGCTGCGGTCCAGCTTGGCGAAAGCGGCTGCAATGACCGCCTCCCGGGCCTGGGACATGGGGGGCTGCGGAACCAGGGCGCAGCGCTGTGGGTGTGCCAAGCTGGGAGATCGCACCCCTTCCCCCACCAGTATCCCCAGAAGGGTTGGGCACCCCGGGATGTGTCACCGCCCCTACCCGCAGCGCCCGCAGGAACTCGTCCAGGTCCAGCGTCCCGCTGCCATCGCGGTCCCAGCGCCGGCACACGGCCTGAGCTTCGGCCTCACCCAGTGCCAGCCCCTGCTGGGCCAGGCCCCGCTGAAGCTCCCCCGCGTCCAGGGACCGGCTCCCGTCCCGGTCCAGGCGGCGGAAGAACCTGGGCGAGGGCACGGTGGAGGGTGACCTCAAGGGCTGGGGCCAGGCTCACCAGGAACGGGAATGGGGAGGGGGCGCCCACCTGGCCAGGCCTTGGATCCCCGAGGTCCCGCGGGCCAGGCACTGTGCGCGGAGTTGTTCCACAGTGGCGTCCGCCGAGTCCATGCTGGGAGGGAGGGAGGGAGGGTGCGTGGTTCCCAGAGGGAGATGATGGCGAGGTCCTTCCTGCTGGCCACCCCAACCTGCTCACCTGGCCTCTGTCTGGTCCCTGCTGCTCGCTGCTTGTTCCAGCACAGCAGCCGCGTCCCGCTAGGCAGGCCTGTTGCTAAGGGACTGTGGCTCTGGAGGCTGGGTGGGGCCCCGCTTTAACCCTCACTGTGCCAGTGGCCAAGGCCAATGAAGAGTCATGGTGGGGCAGCGGGGCCACTGCCCTGGCACTATGGTGAGTACGCACCCAGCCCTGCAGTGCCAGGCCTGGGATGGAGCCAGACAGGTGGGCAAGCACCCCCCTTCCGGCCACAACTGCAAGCCACAACGTGCCCTGTCCTGTGATCCTCTGGCCTCCTGGGTCCCTCCCCATTAAGAGAGGAGCTGAGCAGGAGGCAGAGCTGACAGACAGCAAGTGGCTGAGGGAACCCACAGCTCCTTCCTACACCCACGGGAACGTACTGCCCAGAGAGATCAGAGCCGGGCCGCAGCCAAGTCTGCTAGGGCCACGTTAACTTCAACAAAGCCCATTTCATCAAGGTTCGGAGCTGGTCGGAGTAACTGTCGCCCACAGCCTCTGACTGGCAGTTTCCTAGATGGCTGGTATACTTTGCCCTCTCGGGTGAAAAGCAATACCAAACCAAGGCTGGTCCAACCCCAACACAAAACAGAGGAACCAAGTCCCCAAAGGCCATGCCTGGGCCCATGGGCAAGGGGGTGGGGGCGGGTATTCAGGCAGGCAGGTCTCAAAGCAATGTCGCGTTTCTCAACACTGAAACACTTGCAGGCTTTCCAAGCCTGGGCTTCACAGACACAGAGCTAAAGTTGCCATTTCAGTCATAAACCATCTGCAGGCCACAGACAGCGGCCTGCTCCCCAGCTTAGATCCACTACCCTTGTGCCGCCCTCGGATCTGTGGGTCCACTCGACTTGGCTCCAAAAATTCAGAGGATTTGCTTCAACCCACAATTCCTTGGGTGGACAAAGGAAGACCAATTGTATTGTCTAAAATGTGATAAGCATTGCTCTCGTGTATGTGAACCACAACTTCTATGTCCCCATGTTGGTATTTTTCCCGTTTCAAGGAGGAGGGTTGCCACACTAACACCCCTGTCAAAACCAGAGGTGGCCTGCCCCTCCCACCCTGCCAGTTTTCCCCCTCACCTCTGTTTCCACAGCTGTAAAATAGGGTGACTGCCCCGGGGTGGCTGGGGCTGTACAGTAAGTAGTGCACGTAGGTGGACTGCCTGGTACAGGCCCCCCACGCATCGAGGCCCACCCCCTACGCCAGGGAGTAAGGATGTCAGACAGAGTCAGGTCAAGGCGAAGGGCTCTGGTTTATTCCTTAGCACAGACCAGCCCCAGTTGATCCTCCCCTGCAGAGACCAGCCCCCTTCTGCCGACTGGGAAGAGGAAACGGGGTGGCGGTGACTGATGTTGAGCAGCCGCTTGTGAGGTGCCAGGCAGGTGACTCTACCCGGAGCGCTGCAGGTGGCCGTTGGCCTTGCCCAGCCGACAGGAACCCTGGCCCACAGCAGCTCCCGATGTAACAATTCCCTGAGGAGGTTGGAAACGGGTGGCCAACGAGATTGGGCAGTTGGGTGGAGTTGAAGAGGTCGCGGGGCCGGTCCTCTCCCTGGCTTGACAAAAAGGACCGAGTCTGGTTGTCTGGGGCGCAGCAATGGGGGGGGGGGGCAGGTAAAAACAGGGGTGTTAAAACAGATCTCTAGGGAACACCAGGACCTTGCCAGAATCGGTCAGGTGTGCTGAGGGTCCCGGGATGCCTTCAGGACCCACAGATCTATCCTGTCTCCACCAGGGAACCTCACAGAGCATGGATGGGGGTGTGTAGGGGGCGGGGGGCAGGCAGGCAAAAGGGATGATGAGAAGTGAGCTGGTCAGGAACTGGAACTGGGAAATAGTTCAGCTAAGCTGACTACGACGGTCAAGGCCAAGTAAATGGCCGGGGGAAAAAGCCCGCATGCCCACCGCCATCCAGCAATGGTCCGACAGGCCCGCCTGGAGGTTAACATCTTCACAGCACCACGCCCCACCATCCCTTCTGGGCCAAAGTTCCAGGGAGGTGCAGGGTTTGCAAAAAAAAACAAAACAAACATGCCCCCACATCCCCGGTGCAAAATGAGGGGAGGAGGAAGGGCTCCCCTTTCTGGTCTGGCTACAACTTTTTTTTTTTTCCTTTTTAAAGTGTTAAGTCTGATATGGCGGGGTGGCGGGGCATGTTCAGGAGGAACACGGATCAAAAAGAAATTTAAAAGGCAGTCTCCAGTCTCCAGTCATGTGGAATTCGGTACTGTCTGAAACTCGGAGGCCCACAGGGGCAGTTCTACCCTGTCCTGTAGGGTCGCTGTGAGTCGGCATCATCGACTCAACGGCAGTGCGTTTGGTTTGGGTCTTCTGAGCCTACGCCACAGAGAAAGCCTTCTGACTTCTACCCTGACTCTTAGCCACCCTGCAGGCCAGAGCAGAACTGCCCCTGTGGGTTTCCGAGGCTGTGCCTCTGGATCGGAGTGGGTGGGCATAGCTTTCTCCTGCCAGGTGGCTGGTCAGTTCGAACCACCAACCTTTTGTTTAGCAGAGGGGTACTTAGTGGCTGCAGTGCCAGGGTTCCTTCCAGGGGATGGCATGGAGTGGTCTCACACTTAGATGCTTCCAGGTCCAGTAAGGTAACCTAAGAGTGGCAAGGCGGCCAGCTGGAACTGACACTGCAGAGGGCAGCCTGGACTTAGACCCAGGCAAGCCCCACTGAGTCTGCAGTTAGAAACCTGGACTGTTGTGTAAACACTGCCGATTTCTTTAGCTAGGGTGAATCATCTGCGCCTGACCTTGGGGCTGCCTGTTTGAGATCTATGGCTTTCTAGCTGGGGCCAATGTGTGGACAGGATTAAGGCTCTGGGGTGTCCCTGCAGGACACTGGTGACCGCCCCCTACCCCCACCCAGGACACCCACAACAGAAGTCCCTGCAGGGACCCCACATGTCCACTCTGGGATCTACACTCCACGAGGTTCACACCGTGGTCCCCAACACAGCCGCTGGCAGGTGGTCCTCGTCACCTTCCCCATTGGTGCTGACGATTGCGGGGCTGGGCCCGCAAGGGTCCCTGGATGGGAGGGACCCCAGGCGCTCAGCCTCATCCAGAGTGGCCAGCAGCCTGGCCAGGGGCAGGCGATGCTGGCAGACGTCCCGCAGCAGCTCGGCCTGGAGTTGCAGCTGCCCGATGAGGTCGTCCCTCTGGCGCACGGTGGCCTGCAGGTTGTGGACGGCGGCCTCGGAGGTCATCAGCTGTTCCCGGAGCGTGGCGATCTCACTGTGGGGCAGCAGGGCAGGGAGGGATGGCACCCAGGACTAGACTTTCTGCTTCTCTCTGCTCCCCGTTCCCTTCCCGGGGCGTCTTGGCGCCAATTTCCAAAACAGTGGTGAGCCCCAAGTACGGGGTTTCTCAGCTGTGATCCTTTGGAAGCAGCCTGCTAAGCCTTTCTCCCGCAGGCGGTCCCGCTCCGGGCCCTCTAGCCTTCCTCCCTCCCTCCTCTGTGGGCATCAGGCATTCACACCCGCAGTTCCCTCTTCTCTTACATGCAGTTCAGTTCCCTTACATGCACCTGCCTCCAGGAAGCCTTACCTCTAGCCCACACCAGTCCTGGTTCCCCCACACTATTACTGCCCAGTAACTGAGGGCAGGGCCCTGGAAGCTCAGGACAGATGGATGAACGAATCGCCTACCCACTCACCCATCCTTGAATTCATCCTTTCCTCAAGACCCTCACATCTCCCTGCTGCCTAGGCGCCTCCCTTGTCCCCGTCCACCCTCAGCTGCTCCTTGGGGTGGTGATTCCTGTTGCCTGAGTCAGTGCTCAACCCCCATGGTAACCCGATGTGACAAACAGAACTGCCCGGTTGGGCTTCCAGGCTGTCATCCTGAAGGGAGCGGAGAGCCAGGCCTTTCTCCCGCAGAACCGCTGGTCAAGTTCAAACCATCAGGTCAAGAACCTGCATGGCTCCCAAGGGCCTCTTCTAGCGAGGGGAAGGCCCTGGAGTTGAATTTGCCACCTGGACAAATCACCACTGTGTTCAGAGTCAGAAAGCCGCACTGTGACATCGCTGAGTGCCACATCCAAACATTAACTCACTCGGCTCACTGCCACCAAGCCAGTTCCCAGGCACAGGGAGTTTATAGGATGGGATAGAACTGCCTTTGGGTTTCTGAGACTTAACTCTTTACAGGTGTAGAGCGCCTCATCAGGCTTCCAAAGAGCAGCTGGTGGTTTCGAACTGCTGACCTTGTAGTTAGCAGCCCAGTGCATCCCCACTGCGCCACCAGGGCGCTGCTATAAAAATAGGTGTTATAATAAAAACCTGCTCTGGGGTTTGATGCCACCAGTGGCGCCGAGGGAGAAAGACGGGCTTTCTATTCCAGTAAAGATTTAGTCTTGGAAAGCCACAGGAAGTTCTACTTTGCCCTGAGTTGGAATCGACTGGATGGCAGTGAGTTTGATTTTGGGTTTGGCCCTGGATTAGATTCCAACCCACAGGGAAACAGGTGGGGCAGAGTAGACCGGTAATCTTGAAGGAAGCTGTTAACGTCTTTCTTTCTGGGGAGCTGCTGGTGGTCGAACCACCGACCTCTCTTTAACCGCGGTGCCACCAGGATTCCAGTTGAACTTTACATAGTGTCAATGTAGGGGCTTTGGAGGCAATCCCACGTGGATGCAAGACGTTCCCTTTGCCTTCCTGCCTCTCCAAAGCTGGCTTGGCCCCCCCTTCCCCCTCCTACGGGAAGTCCTCCTGGTCGGCCGGGAGCCTCACCAGTCCTTGGCGTGGCCGAGCTCCTCGAGGGCGGCACGCAGCTGCTGGTCGTGGCAGGCCAAGCGCTCGGCCTGGGCGCGCACCGTGCACTCGGCTGCGTCCAGCCGCGCCTCTAGCTCCACCGCGCGCCGGTGCATGGCCGCCAAGTGCGCGTTCGCCTCTCGGATTTGTAGGGCGGGTGGCGCAGACATGGCCCTGGCCGGCCGCGGTCCAGGCCCGGCCACGCCCCCGGGCGGCCCGGAACCGACAGGTCCGCCTCCAGACGGGCCACACCTCCCGAGAACCCCCCTTTTCCCTTATGACCTAAGCTCGATTGGCTGCCATCCCGCTGAGCCCCGCCCCCAGCCCTGGCCGCGCCCTCCTCCAACGTGAACAATCACCCTTGTTTCGGCACCTTAAAACTCCGGCCCTGAGCCCAACTTAACTCCAGGATTGGCTGTGTTGGTAGAATACGCCCCTAGGATGGTCCCATTTCCACTACGGCTCGGGCTCGGGCACCCAGATTGGCCACGCCTGCTAGATAGGGTCCGCCTTACTCCAAAACTATCACATGGATTGGTCCGAACTCCTGGAACAACCGGTCTGCCCACGCCCCCGGCGAGGGGTGGGGGAGGGTCTCGAATTCGATTCAGCAGTGGCGATTGGCCACGCCTCGGTCGGGCCAGTCCCAGGCCCAGGCCCGACGCTCAGGCATTCGTGAGGGCGCGGATTGGTCAAGTTATACAGGGTTGCGGCCGCGCCCGTAAACCAAACGCAGACTTCCTCTGGGTTTGGGCCAAAACAAGGAGTACATTGGACACAGGCCATGTCTTGCTAAAATCTAAGACCGGGATTGGCCCCTTCTCTGGGACTAGCCACGCCCCCGAATAGGCGCACGAGACTCAGATTGGCCACGGGGCGTGACCACGTCCACAGGTTGATTCTGGTTCCCGGAGTGGCCGCATGCTAACTGTGCACTGCCCTGTAATAGCCCGTTTCCTTGCAAATGGAGGGGTATCCTTGCTGATGTGAGTGGGCCTTCGCTGAAAGCAGAGAGAGGTAGGCAGGGAGGGAGGAGCCACCCTGTGTTTCATTGACTATGCAAAGGCATTAGATTGTATGGATCACAACAAATTACGAATAACATTGCAAAGAAGCATTTCATCGTTCGCATGAGGAACTTCTACAGAGCCCAAGAGGCAGTCCTTCGATGGGAAGAAGGGAATGTTTAGCTTAAAATCAGGAAAGGGGATTATCCATTCACCAAACTAACGCAGTCTATGCTGAGCAGAGAGTCCGAAAACCTGAGCCTGACATCTGGACTGGAGGAAGATTCACTGACAACCTGTGCCAGGCAAATGACACAACCCTGCTCCCTACACGTGAAGAGGGCTAGAAGCATTTACTGGTGAAGTTCAGAAGGGGTCGCATGTGAACACAGAGAAAACAAACATCGTCCCAAGACCGATAGACCCGCATCGCCACAAGTGGAGCAAAGATGAGAGTGCTCAGGAATGGCCGTTTGCCTGGAGTCACCCGCAGTAGAAGGAAAGCATACGATGTGTCGCACTGGACAAGTCGGCTGCAGGAGACTGCCTGAAGGGTTCACAGGCAAAGGTGGCACGTATGGGCACTTGACCCAAGCGACAGTCATTGTCAACCGCCTCCTATGCCTGTGAAAGCCGGGCAGAGGAAAGGGAAGCCAGGAGAACGGATGCTTTGGGGCTCGGGCATTGGTGCAGGATATTTATTGACTGTGCCTTTGCCAGAAGAGTAAAGAAATCCTCCTTGGAAGAAGTACAGCCAGAACGCCCCCTTAGAAGCGAGGCTGGTGAGACCTTTTCTCTGAAACGTTGAGGCTGGTGACTTTGCACATGGTATCAGGAGAGACCAATCCCATGCCCCCCCCCCCCCAAACAAAAGTTAAAAACCCGACTGCCATGGAGTCGCTTGTGACTCATGAAGACCCTGTGGGGAGTTTGCGAGAGTGCAGCTCTTTACAGGCGTGGAGAGCCTCGCCTTGCTCCCGCGGAGCAGTTGGCGGTGGCGAACTGTTGATCTTGTGGGTTAGCAGAAGGGCACTGAAAAAGAGGAAGGATTGGACCGAGTGGCTGGTACCATAGGTTCCAACAGAGCAACAATTGGGGGGATGGCGCGGGATCGGGCCGTGCGCTGCTCGGTTGCGCACAGGGGTCACTGTGAGTCAGAGCTGACGCAAGTGCACCTAACAACAAAGACTAACCTATCTCTGGAGCCCCGCCTCGGGATAAGTCTAGTTTATCCTCCGGAAGGCACCCCGTCGCTAACCTAGGACCACCCACCCCCTGAGCGGAGACCCGCAGCCAGCCTCGGTTGGCGCCTCCGGAAACTTGCTCCGCCGCCGGCCGCGCTCCCGTTCCGGTGTCTGTGAGGGAGGCTCTCAATAAAGTTGCGAGCTTGTTGCCGGCGCGTCTCGCCCCGGAAGTCTCGCGAGAGCGAGTGTGGGCTGCCCTTGGATGCGCCGAGCCGCCCGGGGCTGCAGTGCGGGCTCGGGGGAGCGCGGCCATGGCGCGGTACCTGCTTCGGCAGTACTGGGACATCCCCGACGGCACCGAGTGCCACCGCAAGGCCTTTGCCAGCACCAGCATCACCGGCACCATCGGTGAGCGCCCGCCGGGCCCGGAGGCCGCGGCGAGGTCATAGGGTCATGCCCAGGCGGTCTGAGCGCGCCCCCGGGCGCTGGGAGGTCTTGCGGGGGGACCCTTGGGCGGCAGTAGAATGTCTGCGGCGGCCGTGGGACGCTCGGGAGCTCTTTCGGGAGGTGTCCGTGGGGGCGAGAGTCACGGTTCCCCTGGCAGGCCGGGCCGCGGGGATCACCAGCGGCGGAGAGGCCCTTGGGTGCTGGGATTTTATGGGGGGTGCGGAGGGGTTAGAGGGGAGGTGGTCTGGAGGCCAAAGTGCTGGGGTCAGAAGAATGAGGAGCCATGAGACTTAGCAGTAAGGTTTCCAAGATTTGAATGGGCCGTTATTGGGGTGTTGCCAAGGGGTACAGAAATTCGGGGAAGTTTGAGATGGGGACAGGGTTGGGGGCGTTTTGGTCTCCTGGGTCGCGGGCCGTCAAGGGTATCGACAGTTTTCATTGGAGCCACTGGAGTGGCCCAAGAGATCCTGTAAAAGGTGCCCCTGAGGCTACTGTAGATGGGGGACGGGGGGAGCCTGAGAGGAATTGATGGGGACCCAAAAAACCCCCAACCTGTTGATCCAACTCATGGTGGTCCCAAGTGTGCAGAGAACTGCTCCGTAGGGTTTCCAAGACTGAGCTTTGTCAAGCAAGATTGCCAGAACTTTCTTCCACGGGGCTTGGGGTGGGCCGAAAGTACCAACTTTCCCCTCAGTAATGGAGCACAAGCCAACGAGGCCACCCAGGGCCGTCCGAGGGGACTCAGCAGCCAGGGGATTCTGGCTCCCTAGTCAGTCCCCAGGACCTCTGGTCCCCAAGCATCCCACTGTCACCGTGTTTTTCAGTGCCCTCTGAGCACCTACACTAGGCAGGCGGTGGTTCTCAACCATAACATTATTTTCATTGTTACTTCATCATGTCATTTTGCTCCTGTGATGAATCGAGCGACCCCCATGAAAGGGTCGTTCGACCCCCCCAGGTTGAGAACCACTGCACTAGAGGGACATACTTGCAGCCACTATGTCACCCATGTGATTGAGCCCGATCTTGATTCTCATGGATTCTACCAAGCACAATGGCCTTCTGCCAGGGCTAGACCCTCCTGAGAACATGTCCAAAATCCAGGAGGTGAAGGCTCCCATCCTTTGTTCTAAGGAGTGTCTGGCTGCCCTGGGCCCAAGAGATGTGATCGATCTGGCAGTCCATTCTGTTAGAACGAACAAAGGGGACACGGACCCAGAGCCTGGGTTTTAAAGAACAGGTGTATAAGAGTTTATGACCTGCCTGGGAGTTTAGAATGGAATGAGAGTAAAGGGGGCAGGGTGAGGGAGATTGGGAGACGAGTACAGAGAGGAAGAGACAGAGGGACAGAAGTGTGGCCACACGAGAAGATAGAGTCAGAGAGAACACGAACAAAGGAATCGTGTGTGTGAATAAACTGGGGACGGAAATAAATGACCATGTCTAAAAGGAGCCCGCGCTTCCCCCCTGATTGGCTGGTTGTGGCACCAGCAGAACTTTGAAGAGAGGGGGGGAAGGTTTCTGTGAGGTGTCAATGTTACACCCAGTGGGGACGGAGAAGGGGTTAGAGGTGCTGGCTGTGACTGAGAGCCATGGTGTTCTTGCTGGACCCTTTACATGACACGTGCCATATTCCTCACCAACACTCTTATTCAAACACATCAGTTCTTCAGTCTTTGTTCATCGACCAGCTGTGTACATACATAAGAGGTCTTGGTCTTCCAAGTGCCGGCTCTGCTGTGCGTTGGGGTCATTTCCAGGAGTTCCTGTGGGGCAGTTTGACCCCGTGGTAGCATGGCCACTGCCTCCGTGAGGGCTGGTTGCAGAAGCGAGTCAGATGGAATCATTGGCAGCACCGGTCTTTTCTCTGTTGCTCCCGACAGCCGTCTCCTGGCCTGGTTGTGAGGAGAGAGTTAGGTGCCTGGGGCCGGTTCCTGGCCGAGAGAGCCCTTCTCTCCCGAGGGCCACTTGGATTGGGTGAAACAGCTATGGGGAGCCTTAGTCTCCTGTTTGGGATATGTTGTCCGGAGCAGCCAGTCTCCAGAGAAGGGCTTCGTCCTTCATGAAGTCGTGGTGGTTAGCTATCACCCAGTTGGTCCCCCCCCCAGAGCGACCCGCTGCGCAGCAGTAGGAATGCTGCCCCGTCTGGCACCGCCCTCACAGCTGTTCAATGCCTGGGCCCATGGTCGCAGCCTCCACGTCACTCCGCCTGGAAAAGGGCCTTCCTCTTGTCGCTGCCCCTACTGCTTCACCAAGCAGGATGTTCTTCTCCAGGGACTGGTCTCTCCCGGCGGCACGTCCGGGAGACGAAGTCTTGCCACCCTGGGCTCTGAGGAGCACTCTGGCTGCTCGTCTCTGGAGACAGATCTGTTTGTCCTTTGGCAGCCCACGGCACTTTCGATAGCCTTCTCCAGCCCCGTCACTCGCCTTCAGTCTTCCTTACCCGGTGGCCAGCTTTCGCATGCATAGGAGGCAACTGAGGCCCAAGTAACACCCTTGCTTTTCCGTATTCTAAAGGGGTCTTAAGCAGCAAAGTTACCTAATACAACGCATAGTGGGTCCTCAAAATACGGAAGGCTCTAAGCAGTATAGGTTGACACAGTGGCTGCGGCAAAGTCCTGATAGTGAGGTGGCACAGGACCTGACCACGGAGTCCCTCGGGTGCAGATAATTGGTGCACTCTGACTGCCAACCAGAAGGCTGGAGGGTCAAGTCTGCCTAGAGGTGTAGCTGAAGAAAGGCCTGGCCATCCAGGCCTAAAAATTCAACCACTGCATCTCCGTGGAGCGGAGAGATTCCATGTGGACTTGGAATCAACTCACTAGCAGCTCCCCCTCTGCACCACCCCCATCCCACAAATCACCACCACCATGTTTGAGGGGGCTTCAAGACATCGTGGGAGAATCCCATTATCTTTTTTTTTTTTTAATCATTTTATTAGGGGCTCAT